AGTCCACCAGCATCCAGTTTAACCCAGCACAATTAGCACATCCGTTGGAGTAGAATTACCCTGTAAAACGAGAATGCTCTGGACAAAAGAGGCAGGAGAGTTGGATTTGAAAAAAGAGGGTAAGTGTGAGGGAAAGGGGGAGAGAGGAGGAGAGGAGGAATAAGGGAGGACAGGGAGAGATTAAAATTGTTTGAATTGAGTCCACACTCGCCCCATTCATTTGGTATTCTGCTCAAATCAGGGCTTTTGTTCAGCCTGGCGTAAAGTAGTGTCAATCATCTCGACCCGGTTTTGTAGAATGGGGAAATTTATTATGAATTTGCTCCTGCAAATAATGAGGACTACCCCCTGCCTGCTCTCCCTTTTCCCTCCTCCTTCTCCCCCGAGCCACCTCTCCTCTCTCCCCCTTGCCTCCACCCCCATATCAATGCTGCAGAATAGGCAATAGAGAGTGAAGTTAGCAATCTCAGGGCCACTCGCACTCTGGACCCACATCAAAGTGACAGAGACGTCCAATCAGATTTGTCTTACAGGCATTACATGATGAATATGGTGCGGGCGTAGCACAAAAGCGCCTTTGTGTCTCCTCCGAGCAGAGACTATTCACAGCCCGCCACAGCCAGCCAGAGTGGAAGTAAATGGCCAAAAGGGCCCAGGCCAAAAAAAAAGCACCCAAACTTGTGCAGCACAATGGCCCATGCAAATCACAGCCCCCGCCACCTCCACCCTACCACACATCCCCACCTCTTCCATCCCTCCACCCTTCAGGCCTGAGCTTGGTTCCTCCTCTGCTGGGTCGTCTGAAGTTTAGGGCCTATTCACAGACATACAGAGGTGTCAGTTAAAAGTGCTGAGCTGCATGCATTCAAACGTTCATTTGAAAAGAGAAAGATTTCTTTTCTTAGAAAGATAGAAGAAAAACACGAGTCGAATGACTGACTTTTTTGTCAGAAAGTAAGAGTGACTTGGCGGCTGTGAGCAAGACTCCTATTTAGACTTTTGCTGGGGAAGAGGATTTCTAGCACACTGGAATGGCCCTGCTATATTTGCCTGCATTGAGAGAAATTATCAAATAAAATGGCCTGTTCTGGCACAGAGAAAGGACACTGCTACACATATCTTACTTCAACGCAGAAATGAACAATATAACTGATTCTAACTGTAGAACATCTTTAGCAGATATTCAGTGGAGCAATGGATAACTCACTACATTTATCACATCTCTGCTCTGGGAATGGCAAATCTTAATAATGAAGTCTGAATTTAAATCCCAGAAACTATATAAAAAATATTCAGTGTATGAACCGACTTCATTCTAGCAGGTATTAGCATCTGCACTGGTGCAAATGTCAGCTCTGGTGTGCTTACAGGGTAGATAAGTCTTTTAAGAAAAATCTGTCAAGTAAAATTACTTGCTCTATGAAGACTCTCTAGTGAGAAAAAAAAGCTTAGGCAGCATCCACAGCACCAGAAATCTTCTAAATTTAGTAAAGAGAGAAGGGACCTGAAGGCTTAACATCTAAAAGGCCTTTATTATCATAACTCAGAGCCAATGGGATCTGCAGTGACTCTGACTATAACATCTATCAGGGTGGAAAAGGAGTAGCAGCAGTAGTGATGAGTGCAAAATACTAGGGCGTCCATAGTGCTTCTACTAACCAAGACCTTACTCAATCAATAGCCAAGGGGTCAGCAGATTTGTCTCTAAACCAGCTGCATGACCCTGTGTGTGTGTGTGTGTGTGTGTGTGTGTGTGTGTGTGTGTGTGTGTGTGTGTGTGTGTGTGTGTGTGTGTGTGTGTGCATGCATGTGTGTGTGTGTGTGTGTGTTTGAGTGTGTGTGTGTGTGTGACTCCAAATCAGTTCAGCATGTTTTCTGTCTATGTTAAATATAAACGTGTCTGTGCCTCTGCTTAAACATTAACACCTCTGTAAGCATTGCCCAAGGTTGCGCACCATCTCTCCATTCATCTACATCTCTGCTCTGTCTCTGGTCATCACTCTCCTGTCAGAAGCGTATTTATCGTATTTGCATCTTTTCAGCTGTGGCAACTTTAGGTTTGTGTGTTGTTATATTATTTGCATTAGTTTAAAATCTCTTTGCAAAGATGATGTTAATGGCCGCATTCAAGTTCACTGTTAACTCGAAGGAGACGTTGTTTTATCCAGCTTGTTATGGAGTGCATGATTTTATATTGACTCTGTTTTGCATAGTAAAATATTTGATTTGAGATAATTGTGAATTATTAAAGAATCAGAGACACAGACAAGTGTGATTGTGGTTTGAAATAATGCAGACTAAAACAAAGTCTGCTTTCCCCTTGTTTTAAGACCTGTAGATGACTCTATAGTCTGCAGGTCCTGATGCACCTGTTGCTCCATGTGGCTCTGAGCTGTGATTGGATAAGCCATGAACTCACATCTTCCAGATACTGACTCTAGGTATCTTGCAGCCATTTGATGAGATATTTTTTATCAACTTTCAATATGGTAAAATATCATATCTTAAAATTAGAATTCCTTAAAAATATGTAGTTATGATAAGCAGAATGATTTCAGGCCTCTGATGATGGAGAACCGCTGTGTGTCTTCTCAATCTTGTCTGTAGGATAAGTCACTTTTCTTGGAAAAGGTGAGTGTCAACAACAAAATAGACTAGTATCCATGCTGACACTACATCAATCAACTCAGTTACTGCTAGAACAACTGAAGGACAAACATAACATTCAGAACTGGGTCAGTTATCTCCCAGTTTAGCGGAGCTGGGCCATGTTGAAATGACAATGTTTTTACACCATCCTTTTTTTAACTGTTATAAACGGTAATCTTTAGCATATTATTCCTTAATGAATCACGCTGACATGCTCATGCATTTATTAAAGTGAAAAGTAATGAGGGAGACAATGGTTGTGTTATTAGTGGCAGTTAGACTGTTATCATGTAAATACTGTCTACCTCTAAAATGATTCATGTTTTGGGGCATACACTGACAAACTGTCTTTTGCCGACGGGGTCAAAACATAAAAGCAACGAAGATTTGTACACCCAAACTAGTTCGGCAATGAGAAATGTAGGCACACACTGGATGAATGGGTGGCTTTCTATTCATGCGAAATGGCTTTAAAATCCACCGAGCACTCTGATGACTGCATTCAGAGCAACAGATGACCCTTCACCACCCCACTCTTGGCCCAATTTACCCTTAGATTATAGTCTAGGTATGTGCGCATTTGGCGTTTCAATGGTTTACGCATACATCATGGCTTTGCGCACGAAAAAAAACGTATGCAAAATGAGCTGCTTGTGATTGATTATTCACCATTGGATAAGGACAAAATTAACATCGCCCTTATGTATTGTCAAAGTGAAAATGACCCACGGACAAAATGACATGAATAAATCTATTCTCGCCCCTGCTCCTCCCTTTATCGCTGAGGAGAAAATTGCATATCCATCTTAGAAGACAAGAGACAAGCTTATTTTCACTTTGTGCCCTGGCCTCTGCCTGACACTGAAGGACATCAGAAACACCATTTCAAAAGTATAATAATGGAGCAGCGGGGTATTTTGCGCTCAACATTGATTTGTCTTTTTGAGTCCCGCTGACGTAGGACGTTATAAAGCAGAGCGAAATTAATGTCATTTATCACTTGTTTGATTTTGCCACTGCCTTCACCGACGGGGCTCAGATACGCGAGCCATTAACCAATGGGAGCGCTGGAGCATTTGTCACCGAGAGTACAGGCACGTGGCTTACACCTGCAGGCTGCAAGCGTGTGTGTGTGTGTGTGTGTGTGTGTGTTGGGGTTGGGGGGAGCACCCTATATGTGTGTGTATGTGTGTGTGTGTGTGTGTGTGTGTGTGTGTGTGTGTGTGTGTGTGTGTGTGTGTTGGGGTTGGGGGAGCACCCTATATGTGTGTGGATGTGTGTGTGTGTGTGTGTGTGTGTGTGTGTGTGTAAGAGAGAGAGAGATGGATGTGCGTGGCACACTTTAAGGTACAAGAAGAAAACATTCCACTCATCTTTAAATGTGGTAAGATTTGGTAAGATTTCAGAAAGTCGAAAAGTGAAAGTTATGTTGTTTTGACCTTCCACTGTCGCTCATATTCTTTTTATTGTATTGGATTAATGTAGGCTGATATACAGTCTTTTAGTTTTTAAATGTATTACAAAATTCTATAAGACCAGCTCCAATCAGCCTCTCTTGTTCCCAATTTTCCACTCCCACAGAGAGCACCAGGTGAAATTAAACTCGTTATCTCTCGTTCTGCCTCGCTGAATTTGGCATCAGTGTTCAATTACAATAGAAGATCTTCCATAATTGGCATAATGAGGCGCAAAGGCGCACACAATAGTGCTCACAATGTGGTGTTGCGCTCCCCATTTCGCAGGAGATGGGCTTTTTGATTGGGCTGTGTGCGCCATGAAAAACACAGTTGGGGATACAACTAGTCTACAACCCCAGGTTTTATTTAGATTGATCTCAATCGGGCAATAAGAATTTTGACCCGTCTCATTGTCTTGCTGACTTTCCCCAGGCCGTATTTCAAAGTGTCTATACCCTTTGAGAGGAGTGAATTGCACCCCTCCTCTCCCCTCCCTCTCTCTCTCTCCGCTGCAGGCCCTCAGGGCTATTGGGTAAAGGCAGAGTATGCAAAAGAAACAATGCAATGCATGAAACGTAATATTAATCTCCCCGTCCTGAATGCAGACAAAGCGCTGTAGAAGGTGCGCGTCTATACTGGTTATTGAGTGCTCACCCAGCTGCGCAATTTTCCCCAGTGTGCCCAACCAAGTCGGGAAAAGGTCATGTAGGGGCTTTGAATAGAAGAGAGGCACCCTGGTTTGCTCAATTACCGCCACCACTGACACACACCCCTCACACAGAAACACACACCCACACACCCACACACACACACACACACACACACACACACACACATCTGAGCACAAGTGTGTGAAATTCATCAGCTGAAGAACCAAACAACTACAAAAGAATATAATATAAATAGATTCATATTTATTTATAAAACTTGTTTTACACAAAATATATCTGTTAAAATCGAATATTTACATTGTAGGCTACGGGAAACGGAGAACAAGTGCATACATTAATAAAGATCTCCTTGCAACCTATTCAAAAATAACAAAACAACTACAGTCAGTCACAGGTAGTAGTCTTGATATTGCTGTCCAGTCACACAACTCACACATGCCAACTCACTGCCACAATGACAGCTGGTTCTCAAAACACCATCAGGAAAAGTGGCAGTGACTGTTGTTCAAGAACATTGTTTGTTTTGACTCAATGTACAAAAATATGTCTTCATGTTAAAACAATTTGTTGTATGGTACAATTTTGTTATGAAAGGGTGGAAATGTACATCACGAAAAAAAGTCTTTTGACGCATCATCTTTGCTGTGTTGTGCCTTCTCAACGGACGTGGCAGCCGAGGAAGGCAGTCCTGCTCTGATGAAACACTCATCAAACAAGTCCTCTGGAACTGCAGCACCGTCTCTGCAGAGCCTGCTGTGTCACGTATTAATTGCACTTATTCAAACATAACATCAACAGTTCCTTACTTCCACGCGTCAACGTGACACCGAGTCCAACTCCCTCCTCCTTGTGAGGACTTCAGGGCGACTATTCATGCAACAAGAGGCTCCCTCTCTCTCTCACACACACACACTCCCTCTCTCTTTCTCACTATTGCTTTGCTCCTGCAGAAGCAGCCCGGGTGAGGCGGGGAGGCAACAGATCTCTTACAAGCACGGAGGGCAAGACCGATCTGATTCCTTTACCTAAGTCTGTGTCAGCTTTTCTGAAAGAAGAGCCGCCTTTTACGCACAGACGCCGCTGTGTGGTTTGGATGCTGTCAGCCTCAGTACCTGTCGAACCAGGTTGTAAAGTCCAACAGCTCCTGTTCCTCGGAGCTCAGAGGCTCATAACCACCTTCATCGGATGAGTAGGTGGAGTGAGGCGACTCCGGGTCGGCGGAGTAGCTGTTGGAAAGTGTCGGGGATGGCAACCCGCACTGGAAAGCAGCCGACACAGCGTCATGTTCGTCCAAAAGTTGCTGTAAAGCCCTGATGTACTCCACCGCAGACCTCAGCGTCTCCACTTTGCTCATCTTCTTGTTGGCGGCCCCGTTGGGCACGTGCTGACGCAGCGTCTGGAAACCCATGTTGACTTGTTTGACCCGGTTCCTCTCTCTTTCGTTCCGCCGGGCCACGGCCACGGGCTGCTGCTGAGGGATGGAGTAGCCAAGGCCGTTGAAGCTCAGGCGCCGCTTGCAGCGCAGGAGCTCCGGCGAGCTGGAGCGCTGTCTCTTCAGCACCTTGGTTTTGCTTTGGAAGCCGGCAGTGCTGGCAGCGTTGGGGTGCACATCGGGGACCGTGCAGTCCTGCGCCGGGGCGTGCAGGCTGAGGGTGGCGCGTCTTTCAGTAAGTCCAAAGGCGAATGCCGTCTGCGTGGTGGTGATGGTTGTAGTTTCCATCTCGTTGACAGTTCTCCTGCAGTGATGGATGCAGAGGGGCGAGCGCTGCCTCTAACAGTGGGGACAAGACGGAGAGGAAGGGTGGAAACGGTTGGCAGTGTACAGCTCTCGTGTCCTTCGCGTGGGGACCGTGTGGCTAACTCTAGTCCAAGTCTCTCTTGACTGCTTACTCCACGAGCCGATCTGACCCAAACTTTGGCAGCACTCCCCTTTTTCAACACGCGCCCCAACACCCACCCCACCCACCCCCTTTTCGGAGACGCACGCTTCGTCGCGAGGCCCCGCCCCCGCTGTGTGATTCTTCTGCACGCCGACTCCCCCGGGCCAGGCGCGTGGCTCCGGGAGCTCAATAAACAATCCCGAGCTTTCACTGCGCCGGGAGCACGCGCTGGGCTCATTTACATTCCAATGTCTCTAACTTGAAGGCCCATTGGTCGATTCAAACGGCCTGCAACCGTGCGAAAAGAAAGAAAGGAGAAAAAAGACAGCGAAAGAAAAAAAAAAGAAGAGAGAATAAAAAAAAAAAAAGTGAATGGTTTGGTTCTTTGAAATGCCTTTTGAATTTGACAATGTACCCCTGGCAAGTCTTCAAATTATCAGTCTTTCCCCCTCGGCCATCTTTCTCCTCCAGCTCTTTACAATCACAAAATACCAAGGACGCTCTCTCCTGTATCCAGGCTACAGCTTTACAGAGCAAAATAAATTGCAAGCGTGTCTCTGACCACAATAATTGGCAATTATAACTCGCGCCGGGACGCGATTAATTTAAAAGTAAACATCATGTTTATGACAAACAGGCGTCCGAGAGAGCATTTTACAATTACCTCCCAACTCTCTGTGTTCCGCAGGTCCAGTTTGTTGGCACTTGCTTGACAGGTTATCAATGGAAAGTCTTGTTAAATTCAACACAGGCCTTTAACTACAACCTGAATGTAAACACTTTTATATGTGTGTTATGTGTTTGTAGTTGTTGTACTCTTGTTTGCGCTCATGGGGATCCAGTAAAAGCCAAACCCAACCCGGAGTGCAGACGCACGGACGCAGCGTTTCAGCACCACATCTGACTGGACAGTTGAACACAACAGCATCATCATCCTTTGATTTTGGCTCTTTTTTTGCCGACATGAGACTATTTTTTTTGTTTTATTCACATGGGGTTTTAGTCAGCAAAAGTCCTTCGAAATACGTTTTGTTTGTGGAAAAGTCTCCTTACCAGCAACTTCTGGCAGTGAGACTGTCTGTGCAGAAACACGAGACCGTTCCCCAATTAAAATGGGACACTTGCGGCCTCTGGCGGCAGAAAATGGCAACTACCACCTGTAACTCCACTTTGTTCTGATGCGTCTAATTCAGGGACAAAGGGGGATTCCCTGACAGTTAGTGGTTAAGCATTTCCTCCTCTGGGATCTTGCTCTGACCTATCATCATTGGCTTACAACACACCACAAATTCATACACATAAAAAAAAGACTAAAAAACTTTCAAATTCAGATCTTCAGACCCTTTGAGCAACCTGATCTGTGTGTACCAAGGCTTAAACCTTGCTGCAGCGACAATGGGTTTGAATCTGAACCCTATCTCTCTCTCCCTTTCCTGTCTATCTTCAGTTGTCCTTTCCAATAAAGGCAAAAAACTGCTGCTCCAAAATATATATTAAAAAAGACAAAATTAACAAGTCACTGACAAGACCTTTAACTGTATAATACTGGAGAAATCAGAATAAATATTAACTTAATAACTTAACATTTTTTTATCATCTCTAAACCTGACTATATCAAGGTTTTGTCAATCAGAGCAAAGACATCTTAAATCATAAGATACACAAGAAAAGGGGACTTTCCATTTCTCCCAAATCACATACTTCACACCATCTGTTTCCCTTCTGAACAATTTAGATCTGCTCACTGCTAGAAAGATGTGATTTGGGGCCTAACGTTTGTTTGACAGGCATCAGTTGTTCCCCTGCTTTTGGCTTACACAAAGTGTTTTCACACCATTTTTCTTCAAACTAAGAAAAAGGCTAGGAGAATCAACATTACAGCAAATACTGTTACCATATCATACTTATTTGATTTATGGCCAAGAAACATCACTCACCTACAGAGAATAGCCCATTCATTTTCATCCTCTTTTTCTTCCCAACATATTCCCTATGCGTGGTATCGAGGTAATATATTGTGACTGTGCAGTATTGCTTCTCTGAATGGTTTTGTGTTGTGTGGCAATCCCCACTTTCAATCTCTTAGGTTTCCCCTTTCTCTGCTACCTTTGGCCTTCCTGTGTCAACAGTAGAGGGCGCTGAGTGAAAGTAGAAGGGAAAAGCCTCAGTTACAAACCAGTTCATTCATCACATGTGTTTTTAAAGAGTGTCTATATCCTGAAATAGTATCTTACGTAATACTACACCTGAACCAGTATCTGATTAAGATGTCACTGTCATAACATGAACTACAATAACTTGCAGCAGGTCACGTAGGAATTCTGTGACTGTATCAAGGAAAATGTTTTTATTATAGTATTTACTGCAGTACACATTCCTTTGGACTAAGAGTAGTATTGATTAGGGATATCATCAGTCCATCCCTTATCTATAACCGCTTACCCTTGGAAGGTCTCAGGTGGCTGGAGCCGGTCCCAGATGACATTGGGGGAGAGATGGGGTACCAGGGGACCCTAGACAGGTTGCCAGTTCATCACAGGGATAACACATACAGTGACAACCATTTACAGCAATTTAGAGTCATTAGGGATCCTTCCTCATTAGGGACAGATTACAAATTATTCTCCTGCACAGGAAAGATTTATCAGTCAAATGTCATGAGACCTTAAGCAGGACAACAACCCAAATATAACACAATGAAATCAAATTCTTATGACTAAAACATTACATCACAGATTAACTAATATTGTTTTATCAGCCTCACCCTGCACACACAAATACAGTATACTAAAGACTCACACTAATCAAGATTAAGCCTGCCAATGTCTTATTCATAGGTAAGGGTGTGGCTGTTTATGAGAAATGAAGCAGGTTAAACTCCTGTGCCACAACAACCACCATTTCTGATGTTTTTCTTAAAACAATGCTTCAAATCGAACGTGCTTCATATGTAACACACACAGGTGAGAGCGAGATAAGCAACATGACAATAGAGTGTATGTATCTTTCTGTGGGTGTGTATTACAGAGATAAAGAGGGGGATATGAATGAAGAGGGAAAATCCAGAATCTAGCTAGGATTCCCAGTAAAAACTTCCTTTTTAAAACATGAAAAGTTCAACCATAACCTGGTTAATACAAATCTGTACTCCAGAGACTCTAAAGGCCTATTATTACTCTCATATGTTTTGCAGGCCACACTAGGAAATAAGAAAATGTGCACAGAGCAGTTTAATTTTCTGTGTCACGTGTAGGAATTATCTGTTCCATCTTCTGCCACCAAATATTCTGTATTACCATTTGTATTTACAGCTGACGTACATCCTTCCTCAGTGGCTGTAATGGAGCCTGGGTTTTCTACAGGCACCCTCTACTGGACTGAGCAGTACTTCCAATGAGCATGAAAGGGGAAGTGCTCTATTAAAGCATGTATCGCTTCCGTATTCCTCATACATGTATAGGCTATAGGTCCATATTGCTTAAACAGAGTCAGACTAATGCATAAGCTGTGGCCAGACATGGTCAGAAAAGGGAAGTAGGCTCAGCAACCTTAAGCATGCATATGCACACACCACTGCAACAAGTACCTGATCTTTTGTACCACCTGACTGTGAGTAAAAGGTTGGATAAGAGAAGAAGAGGGGAAAAAAATAGTATTCAACAGTTGTGCTTTCCTGAGCAGAGAAGTCAGGGAATGCTTAATGTTGGAAAGAGGAAGTGAAGTCTTGTTGGGAGCAAACTGAGTAGTGGTTTTTTGTAGTATAGACTACAAAGTATGTCATGGAAGACAGGGCATCCCCACTGGTTATAAATACACTGTCTCATTCAAACACATGACACAGCCCCACACCTGCAGGATTCTGAGTCCGAAAGTCCCCCCCTAAAACACTGCATATTTGTTACAAACTACGGCACATTCACATTGTCTAAGTTAAGTGGAACTGGGTGGTTTCATGGGACACTATTTTAGTGTGCAATACCTCTCCAAAAGTACTCTGCCTCTTAACCGCCAGAGCCCCCAGCTGCCAGCTGAACTGACACTACTCACAAAATGTTCAGTGTACTTAAATATCATCATCAGTATGTGAGAATGCAGTGGCACGCTGTATCAGAATCAGAATCAGAATCCGAAATACTTTATTGATCCCCGGGGGGAATTTGTTTGCTACAGTTGTTCCACTCACACAATGTTAAAGAATAGTACTTATATACAATCTAACACAATATACAGAATAGAAATGAATGTATAGGTATATGCATATAGCAAAAAGTACAAATAAAAATGGAAAATAGAAACATAATAAGAGCCTAAGAGCTATAATAAAGTAATAAGAGCCTATATACAAAGTAAATCTAAATCTAAACATAAGTGTAAACATATTCTGCAGTATTGCTTGACCCGGGTATTGCATTAGTCATAGCCTATAGAGCCTGAACGTGAAACATGTTGACATAATATAAGAAATATGATCAAATGATCCTTACTGTACCACGATATATACTGTGTAGCTGTATTTGCTTGTTTAAAATCACACAAGGTGAATAAACTCAATCTGCACGTTTGTTCAAATAATACAGGGACATGATAGTAGGCCTATGTCAAGAAATCTTCCGAGAATGGGTGGTTTAACCGGTTTTTAACCGGTTTTTAACAATGCATAAAGGCTACAGTAGGAAAAATAAAAGGTTAGGTTTAGAGAGATCCAAAAGCAATCAACCCATATAATTTGATAAACTGAGTGTAACATGATCGCAGATTACAGTAAGGCTCCTGTGAAATCCAGTAAAACGGTTTAATTGTGACAGTAGCGGCCAAATGTTGAGTCAGTAACGTGGCTTAGTATTGAACAACTTGGCTTTATGGGCGAAAACATTTGCATGATGAAATGCGGCGGATGTGGTGATGCAACAAAAAAGAAGTCAACACAACTTTCAGTTTCATCTTTTCCCTGGAAGAAATTCCACTCGTTGTTTTTTTTGTGCATCCTATGACTGCGGGGGGGGCAGATCCATCTACTGTAATGTTGTAATATGACACGTAGCCTATCGCTCAGACTGGCCGTTCATCGGAAATGCCACACGGAGGTGCGCCCTCCCAGTTTTCCGTGGGGGGGGGCGGATACATGAAAAACCTCACATGATGTCACTGGCTGTATAAATGCAGCCATGGTGCTCAGAGACTACAGACTAACACCCCGCTGCAGAGAAATATGCAAAGGTAGGCAGAAGAACAACAACCTCGTCTCTTTTTCTCCCTTCCTTGTTCATTATGTGTCGTTGTTTTTGTTTTTGTTGTTGCACATATTGTGAAAGAGCTACTTCCTTGTAAAACTTGCTGTGTGTGTTGTAGACTTATTCAGATCCTTTGGTGTAATATAAGTCTAGTGAAGTGCGCAGGTTGCTGCATGTTGTTTGGACAGACCATGTTGAGGATTATGTGGATATGTTCAGTCTTTCTGAATGTCTGTGTAAAAACAGGACAAATTGAACCGTGTAAGATGACTGGAACCTTTACCACAGTGCGTTTTCCTGTGTGCATGTGTGCGTGGTTAAGGTGCCGCCTGTCTCTCTTTTCTCATGTTGGAGATATTTCATTAAATAACAACACTGATCCGTCATGTTTCTCCTCAGCCCTCCAAAGCCTCAGTTTGCCAGCTGGCTCATAGAGCAGGTGGAGACCGGCCAGTATCCAGGCTTGTGCTATGTGGGCCAAAACAAGTTCAGAGTTCCTTGGAAGCACAACTCCAGGAAGGACTGCAATGATGAGGACAGTAAAATATTTCGGGTAGGTTCAACGGCCTTCATGAAATCACAGCACTGTCATTACTGTTATCTGACAACATGTGATTAGATCAAATGTTAATTACTTTGTTGTTGATTTTTGACACAGCTACAGTCATTATAAGTATTATTAGTTATATATACCTTTTGGATTTACAAAGGATTCAAACTTTTAAGTGTATTTATGTACCACAAACACCGGCCTCATAAGCCACACACTGTAGGAAATGACAGTGAAGGCTCATTAGGGATTCCTTCACTTCATTACTGTCGGAGCACTGATGTGTAGCAGGTGTCGCCAGAGGCAATTAATAGCATACCAACACTGGTGGTGGCACCTTCCACTTTCCTTGAGGCAAACTAAGCAATGCGGCAGTGTAAATGGCTAAAAGAAATCCTGCCATTTCCTTCACAAAACAATGACAGTAACTGTAGCAGAAACTGGAGCTGCTTTCTCCTATGTGATTAATAGTTAATGGTTAATCCTGGCAAAGCTCTCATCATGTTTTCACTTCTTTTTGTGTGGTCGACAGGCGTGGGCAGTAGCAAGTGGTAAAATCAATGAGTTCCCCAATGACAAGGCCAGGTGGAAAACCAACTTCCGGTGCGCTCTGAACAACCTCTCTGTGCGCTTCAAGATGATAAAGGATAATTCCAAGAATTCAGACGACCCTCATAAAATCTACGAGATTATCAACACTGAGCGTAAGACTACAGTCACTTAATCCAAGTCCTTCATTGTGGAACCATTTTGAGTTTGAATGCAAATGAATGTGGGTCTATTTTCTTTATCTGCAGACAACTATGAGAATGTGCAAGCACACGTTTTCCAGGAGGATTCTGAAATGGTTCCGGATATCTACAGTTCTCCCATAGAGTGCTTCCCCTCAGGAAATGAGGTACAGTATGACCTAGAGCACACTTTCACTTCTTTGTTTCTGTCAAGGATTTCTTTGTGATGTTTGCTTCCCCTTTAATGCTTATTAAATAATACTGTCTTTTTCCTCCAAACAGGATACTCTGCTTAACAATTTAATGGCTTTGGATCTTGGGAATCATCCATCAGGTACAGGAGTCTTATGCAGACAGGAATACTGTATAAGTTGTATAAATGATCTTCTCTATATGTTTTATGATTTTGAAATGGTTTATAATGGAGGTTAAATGTAGTATAATATGCTTTTTATTGTCTATTATAGAGAAGCAGCAGTGGGCAGAGAACTATGATCAGCACAATCCAGCAGTCCTTGGAAGTTATCCTGTTGGAGCCGAGATCCACCAAGGGCAGCCGGCTTACCTCGAGGGTATGTTCAGCCAAATAAAATTGAAATGAAATACTATACTGGAAAAAAAAGTCTCCAATTGATTATATGTAAATATGTGATGTCTAATATGTTGTTGTTTTATTTAATTTTTTTTACAGAACATCCTGCTCCAGTCCTTTCACCTCTCCATCCCAATATATATCAAATGGAGGTCTCTATCCACTACAGGAAAAAAGAAATGCTAAAAACCACATTGACCACTAACCGTCTCCAGCTCCATTACCAACATGAGGCCCCCGAGCTCAAAGCCACTCATCTCTGCTTCCCATCCACTGATGGCCTGCTGGACCACAAACAGGTACGTGATTACATCAGCTGGACATTTTGTGTGACTTAAAGAAAAATCTACCACAAACGACAGAAAACTGGAACACCAGTTAACAGTTCATCTTACTTTCTTTGGCAAATTCTGTGAAGATAAAATACACAACAATACATAAACATAATAATAAAAAAAAATGTTCTACAGTTCCTAATAGGAGTTGAAAGTCATAACCATTAATAGCCAGGTTCAGTCACTAGTTCCACTCTTAGATTCATCTAAGTATGTGAGATGTATTGGGCCCTGGATATTAGAAGTATATTTTGGTATCGGTACAACTGAGATGAGAAATATGGGGATTTCCAGTCTATCTCTTGGCCTTAATAATTACCATATATGTTTGTTGTATGGCTGTAACTTAATGGGGACCTACTCGTAAAAACATTGCTCTATAGCGTGACTAGTTGTCAAAAAACTCCCAGGGTACCTTTCAATTTATAGGTGTGCCAGGGACACACAGTTTGGGTTTGATAGAGGTCTGTAAAAAGTTTGGAGTTTGCTCCTTCACAATAACTTTAATTGGCTCTATACCTCGGCTCTCTAGAGCTTGTCAAAAGTCTTTCAGGAAGTCACTGACTGAAATAGAACCAGATTCATTCAAAAACAACTGATAACATCACCTTATAAATGCTAGAATGCACCGAGATTATATATTATTATAAATATGTATTATATATCAAAGTTTTTCTAATCACAACCTTCTTTTCACCAGATTGAATTCACCAACCGCATCCTTAACAGCATCCAGAAAGGTCTACTCCTGGAGGTACAGGAAACTGGTATCTATGCCTGGAGGCAGGACAGATGCCATGTGTTTGCCAGCACCAGTGACCCCAGTGTGGCTCACCCAGACCCAAGGAAGCTGCCCGGGAACACCATGGTGGAGCTTCTCAACTTTGAGAAGTATGTAAATGGTAGGTGTGGATCTCTTGCTTGGTCATTTTAACAAAAATACTACTTATTATTAGTATTATTACGGTTACATTTCATTTGAAGCTAGCATTAAGTTTTCACTGTGAAATAAATGGATCCGCCTGTATCTGTGTTCAGAACTGAAGCAGTTTAAAGAGAACAACGGTGGCTCCCCTGAATACACCATTAACCTGTGCTTTGGAGAGAAGTTTCCTGATGGAAAAGCTTTGGAGAAGAAGCTTATCGTAGTCAAGGTAATGCTCCTTCCATTTTTCCTGACGTTCCCCTGAAAGACACATGCCGTGTTTGCATTCAGCTCCCTCCAGGTGGGCAGTTTTTAAGTGCTGTAAAATGTCTCTGGTCTTTTGCCCCTGTAGGTGGTTCCTCTGATCTGTCGACACCTTCACGAGATGGCCCAGATGGAGGGGGCTTCGTCTCTTCACAGCGCCAATGTCAGCCTACAGATCTCACACAACAGCCTCTATGACCTCATTAACTCTGTCTTTGGTCTGCCAACAGCTGAGCTGGAGTCAGCACGGTCTGCTGCATATTTTCAGCATCTGATTTGAAATTGTATTTTGCACTCACTTTCTATGAACTATTTCACTGTGGGACCACATGATGCACCACATCCTGCACTTAGCTCCACTAAAAACTGCCTACTTATTGAATAGATGAAATAGACAGTAGATGATACCAGAACTACCAGAATCTAACTGGGTAATGCATAATATGCTATATTGATATAACTCCACCCTGCTTTGCACTGTCTTCAGTTCACCTTGTGTTTTTATCACTACATAAGTAGAAATTGACTCAAATATTGGACTGTGACATTACTACTACTGAACTCAAAGGCCAATGGCCTTGCCTTAACTTTTATACAGGCACTGTAAATGTTAAGTCTATCTTAATGAAATGTATGGTTCAATTGATATTATTTGCATGTAGTTATAAAATGTTTTACATGATAAATCCATTTTAACAAATGTTTTTGATCACATATGTATGACCTTGTATATTGCAGCTATAGTAAAGTTAAATAATTTATGTGTCTAAGTTTTTAATGTGTCATACAGCCTGTAAGGGCAGTTCATCTATATCTATATCTATAGATATAGATATATATATGTTATAGCTGGTCATCTTGCACTTTTTCATACTGAATAAACCTAACTGGCATTATTTGGATTCCAAATAAATTGTTTTATCTTGAATGAGGTCTCATTTGTTTATTACCACTGTGTATGACTCAAATTCTGGGAGGTAATCTTATAATAGATACATTTTAGGGTCTAATTTACTGCTTTCTTACAACCAAATCAAGTTTGTTTTCCCCCAAAGAACAGTTGGGCTGTGAAAACTAAAAGTCCTTGTACTAGCTCCTGAGGCCGAGCCTTTATACTGTACCATCAAGTTTGTCTATGATAACCCAAAAAGAAATGAGGATTTTTTTTATGACACTGTCCCTAAAAAGTAAATGGACAAATGACTACAAAGAAACTGTGGTGGCTCAGTTTGAAATGTGACAGGCAGAAAGAAGAACAAAGCAACAGTCATCACTATGTACCTCATAATATATCTTAAGGTGTTATCGCTTCAAGCCCCAAATCCTAAAAACTGAAATATGACAACAGGACAAAATGTGAGCAAGTACTGAATTAAATTGAGACAAAACCCTATTCATCATATCAGTGATTTATTACTGTTCCCTCTCAGAAACACCTGGCCTGTTTGATCAAGTAAATGCAGAAAAAAGTAAAATACATTCAGACAAACATGAGCACCTGTTCTTGAGATTCTTCCACTCCTAAACCTTGGCTTTATAAAGCCAAATTGAACGTGACAACAAAGTACAAGGCAAGTCCAACCACCTGCTTACTCGGTCTTTACAGTAGGCAAACAAACAAAACTACTATAGACAGCACAATGAATAAGCTGAGTTTCTAACATTTCTGTGTAAGAAATCAATGCAGAGTAAGATTTGGGCTAAAGACACAACGATAAAGCAATCATAATGAGGCCTAAATACCGCAGACATCTCAAGGTTAACACTGAAAGGATTCTGTTAATGTTCCCAATTAAAGGCTTTCATACCTACCTTGGAAATGCTGACTTCTGAGATGTTCCATTACTTTTCCAGTATGTGGACTACAAATTGATCTCACATAACCATGAAATCATGGTAATAAAATGAGCTTAATACTTATAAATAAACATGAAACACAATTTTTAAAAAAAACTTTAGTTAAAATGCTTGTGGACAGTATGAGAGCATCAGGTTGGACAGTGACAATGAAATCAGTGCTATAATCCTTTTCACTCCAAAATAAAATCTACACTCCCTACTACATTGTGGTGTCATAGTCTCCTTTGTTTAAAAACAGAATGCCCCAAAACAAATTAAATCTCACTTATTCAAGGAAATGGTACATTTCTCTTTTATTATCATTATTTTTACTCATTTGGCACAAAAACAAAATGTTCCCTGGTTTTCTACATTTCAAACGTGGGTTGAAAAAAAGGATAACGCTGAGAACATAACAAAACAAGTACGGCTGTTATCTGACAAGAGTGACTCCATTATTCAGTTCAAACCACTGAGCTAAAATTCACCCTTAGTATGCTGGACTACATAGAGCTCCTTAGACACACTTGGATATTAGAGATGTGGAAGACAGAAAACACAAAAACCAGTCAACTCTACAAACTAGAACCATTTATGTCATTCATAACAGGCAACACAGATGAAAGAAACATATAAGTAGATATATCAAATCTATATTATTTACAACCAAATCTAAAATTGTTTGATTACTCTACTGATAAATTTTCTACAAAATTTGCATAACAGTGTCTTTCCTTAATGTGACAAAAGTCTTTAATATGCATACGTTTATGACACTTCTTAACCAACAAAATGAGCTTTTAAATACCCCCTCCATCCCACAAACAAAAAAAAACAGTAGAAAACTCAAAGCCCACGCTGCATCCTCCCAGTGATATGCCTGTGGAGAAAGCTACCTGATTTATCACTCCATGGAAGGTCTTTTGAGATTTGCCTCTTTAAGGCACAACCTCAAGGTCTCCTATTAAGTTTCTGAGCTGTACTACACAAAAACACTGGTTCTTGGCAGTGACGGTCCAAGCACAAGATACCAATAGGTGTTGTTCAAGCGATCAACAAAAAAAAATTCTGTTAAGATAGACAGCCCAACATTAGACAAAAAGTTCCATCTTGAAGCTGTGAGCAAATCTTAATTAATCGTTTATGTCAAAGAGTTTGAGATCACACCCAGTGGTAGGACAAACAGTACAACATACTGTAATACAATATATGAAGTGTTTCCAGTGGGAGAGTCTGTCCTTGCCTGTAGTTTACGCCTCCTCAGGGACTGTCAGATGTTGTCATGGCCTCAGTCTGAACCTCCTGTGCCTTCCCTGAGTCCTCCTCTTTCTTGTGTTTCCTAGCATGTTTGTATTTGTCCACGTATGCCTTGACTAGATTGCCAACCTTCACTGGGTTGATCTCCCCGCTCTTGCTGTGGCACACCTGATGACCATAAACACAAGATAACTACATATAAATTCTGAGAAAAAACTGAGAACTGAAAATTGAGAAAGGCCTGAGTTTATAATTCAAAAGATATTAGGGCTCCAAGTTTTTGGTCAATGACAAAACCTTTCAGTATCTGGGCAAACTTTTTGACCCACCTTCTGGACAGCTTTGCGTAGAATCTCTTTGTATTCATCCTTGTTGATGTCTCTCTTCTGGTAGAAGGGCTTGATAGCTAGCTTCACCTCCTCTATAGCTCTCTCCTGCATGTGCAGCTTCTTCAGGTACTGTTGGCAGGAATTAAACATCATAAATGTCATAATATAGTTTCCACAAATACGTGGCGGTTAGGGTTAACCCCTAACCAAAGATGACATGAGACTACGTGAGATATTCAGTTCAAAGCTTAAACATCCAAAAGCCAGACTCACCGTGTCTTTTCTTGACAAATCCCCTTCGTCTGCCTCTCCTTGTGCAGTGGTTGATAAGCTCTCAGGATGTACACTATCAGATCTAGAGGAGCTACTGAGCGGCACAGCACCCTTCTTGGTGGGGTCACTGACAGTACCAGGGATGTCCTGTGAAAGTGAAGGGAGATTAAAAGTTAAAGATTAAACTAAGTCTTAAACATTACAGGTGGATATATTTAAAGATCATTCAGTAATTTTGCGCTGTTCTGTATCTTATATAGACTTACATATTACATGTCTATGTCTAAAGATGATATAGTGACAAGGACGTGGACGTTTGGAATAAGTGATTGCATTATGTATAAACTATAGTTTTGATTTCCAAGTTATGGCTTTTAGTTTCGTTTAGCCTGAAAAGGCTCTGGAATCAGTTGTAGTTTCTGTCACGTGACTCTGCCTAAATTTGATTTTAGATAAACACTGCCACCTTCTGGTCTTTCAATCGCATTAAACAGAATAGAATCAACTTTATTGTCACATATACAATCGTTTCCAAGTATAATGTATAGTGAAATCTTGTCCTTGTGTAAATACGTCTAAAAGTATATCATACTAGAAATATTAGGTTAACTCTGCAGTGACACATGACTCTGTCCTACCTGACTGGACGTCTGGCCTGTCGATGAGGGTCTGCGAGCTCCTTCCTGCTTCAGTCTCAATTTATACAAAGCCAGCTCTGTTCAGGAGATAATGCAAAAAAATATTCAGCTGAGAGCCATAAACAAAATACATTTTTGGTATCTGCCTACATGGCAAAATATCAAGATAGAGTTACTCAAATGTTACACATGCATGTAAGAAACACAAAAGAACTGGTGATTGTGTGTGAAAATCTAGAATCCCTTTTTATATCTTACTTATGAATTTTCCTTTTTTTTTAAATAGTTTTGTATCTAACTCTGTCAATTAAGGATATATTTCGACCAAACCGACGTTGTTGATTGTTGGAAAGACCATGGAAATACTAACAAAGATGGTTTTGATAGATTTATTTTAAAACTGTCCCAGTATCTTGGGTTTTGATGATTTTTATTTCATTTCTGTTCCATTGTCTTGCTCTGAGATGCAGGTCCTCTAGTGTGACATCCAGTGGCAAGTACATTTCGCAGCCAACAAAAACTGGTGTGGCGCAATCTAGTAGCAACACTTACTGCTTGCAGATTTCTCTGGTTGAGGCCCCTCAGGCTCCTGTATATTCCAGGTAACCCTCTTCACTTGAGTCTTAGATTTCACTCCCATTACTGTCGAGTCATTCTTTCCCTGCTCTACTTCCTTCTCTTGTTTGACAGACACAGCGCTTCCCTCTGTGCGCTCAGACTTCACGTAGTCCAGGTTGTCGAGCATCACATCAACACTGAAGTCATCATCAGAGTCTGAGGGTAGTTGTACTTCCTGCTTGACAAGGACAGTCAAGGTAGCAGTGTTTGGTTGTTCGGTGGAGGCTGTAAACACTGGGTGAGACTGAGAGACTTTATCCTGGAGGCTGTCTGTTGTAACAGGTGTGTTCTGTGTAGAAAACGAGGTGACAGAGGGCAAGTGGCATATTTCTGGGGAACCTGGCTCGGATTTAATTATGGGGATTTCACAAGTCTCTGACTTGATCATTCCACAAGTCTCAGACTTGATCATTTCACAAGTCTCAGACTTGATCATTTCACAAGTCTCAGACTTGATCATTTCACAAGTCTCAGACTTGATCATCTTTGTCTTTATAGGGTCTTTGTTTCCCTCTGCATCTTTACCTTGGACTACCGTCAAAGCAAGGATGTCAGTCTCTTCTTTCTTTATTGGTTTAGTAATAGGTGAATCTTCAAATATATCAAGACATGGTTGTTTTTCTTTCTTAATTTCTTTTCCAACCTTTGTCTCTTTTGCTACTTCTGCTGTTGTGGCCTGGGTGTCTGCTCTGAGGTCTTTGTCTTGTTTTTGAACTTTAGAGGCAGAGGTACAGGAGGGAGTCTCCTGTTCGTTAACTGTAGCAACTTTTTCTTTGATGGAGCTTCGAGTGATATCCTTCTCTTTTTTCTTGGCCTGTAACAGTTTTGTGTCATCTTTAGAGGATGAAACACAGGACCCTGAAGTTTTCTGTGAAGCCTTGGATGATGACCCATCTTTCTTTCTCTCTTTTGAGCTGGATCTTGACCTGTGTCTCCTCTTGTCTTTTGATCGGGACTCTACCTTGTCTTTGGAGGGGAGAGACGATTGTTGCGGTCGTGCGTGGTCTGTCCTCCTTTCCCTAGATCTGGACCTGGACCGTGATTTTGAGCAAGACCGACCACGTTTACGGTTCTTCGATCTCGATGTGGACCTGGAACGTGATTTCGAGCGAGACCGACCACGTCTCTTGTCCTTTGATACCCGTCTTCTTTCACAGTCCCTTTCTCTGCCATCATTTCTCTCCTTGCTTTGTTTTTGTTTCTTCCTCCGTGAACGCTCCCTGCTACTAGTGCTGGAACCAGACCTAAAATCAAAAATGACACAAAAACCTCATAACTAAAGAAAACCGTTTCATCTTCAATAAAGGTCCTAATGTCAAACAGTTGATTACTTAATAGCCAATACTAGTAGTTGGAATATTGGACAAAATATTACATTATGTTTACCTTGATCGCCTCCTGTCTTTGGATCGTGTTCGGGTCAGCCGTATCTTTCTGCGAGTCCTATCAGGGGAGTTGGACTGAGAGCTTTCTGAGGTGGAGCGTGCCCTCCTCCTCTCTCTGGACCTTGATCGCCTGCAACTGCTTTCTCTGTCCTTCTTCTCTTTCTGCCGGCCTTCCTGGCCTGAGGCGTGATGATCTTCCCTCTTGCCTCTGTCTTTCTCTGGAGTGCTAGAGCGTCGGTCTTTCGGAGCTTGAAAGGTTTTCTTCTTATGGCCCAAATCTCTAGATGGGGACTTGGAACTAGACAATTTAGTTTCCGATTTAGTTTCAGCCTTTTGTTTCTTCTTGGTGGGAGCAGAGCTGGAGGATGATGAATCATTCTTATAGTTAGGGGGAGCACTGTTGGGAGTTCCAACACTCTCCTCTTCTAGAGTCTCTCTCTCAGTCTTTAAACGATCCAGTGGTATGGTGTCTGCTGTCTCTGAATTCCAACTTTTTACTCTGTCACCAAACCTTTTAGCTTCCCCTCCATCATCTAACCCTGGCTCTTTCTTAACTTTAGTGTCAAGCAATGCTGTTCGTTTGTCAGCCTTAGTGTCTACTAGTCTTGATTCTTTTTCAACCTTTACATATACCTCTGAAGATCTGGTCTCCTGTAATAAGGTTTCCTGAGCACTGGCTCTCCTTGGTTCTTCTTCTGAAATCTCAATCTCCTGTGATTCAGTTTTCACACGAACCAAGTCCTGCTTGCTTTGCACTAAACACTCCTTATTTCCTAAACTAGGGGCCTTCACCTCACGTGTGGCATGTCGGGAGCTATCATCCAGACTTGAGCTCTCAGTTTCATCTTCTGAGCTGTTTGAGTCTGAGAGAGTGGGATTAAAGGGATCATAGATATTATTACTTTCTTGTTCCTTATTGACCAGTGTACGTGATGCCAAGAGCATCTGTTTATCCCTGTGGAGCTGTCTCTTTCTTGCTTCATCTTCTTTGTCTCTCCAGGGTTCCAGCATGCTGCCTCCACTGGCAGAGGATGACGCACCACTTAGCTGCCTTGAATGCCAGGCATTCCCACTGGAGTTAATGCGAAAGCTCACTGCTGATGAAGATGAAGTTGAAGAAGATGAGGAATAACGTGATTGGCTGGCAGGGGAGCCAGTGGAAGAGGAAGAGGAGGAGAATGAGTTGGAGAAGGCAGATGACGTGCCTGCTCCATCAGGCCTCTGTCTCTGGGCATGACCGTCAGACCTGCCCTTATTCTGGTCTACACTTTGCTGCTTTCCCTTGTCCCCAGCAAAGCTGTTCATGCCTGTTTCTAGCATGCCGTAACCATTACTACTACTGCTATTGCCATCAGTTGTGATACCGCTGCTCTCCCTTTTTATTTTTGGTATCCTAGGAAGCACGGACACATCTACCCACATGGGCTTTGTAGGTGCTTTTTTAGATTGGGAATGTGATGGGGCTATTCCCTTGCTCTTGGAGCTGGAGTCCATTGTGGGGTGGATGGATGAGGTGGGGCTGGGGGTTCTTATTCCATTGGTTCCCCGATGACCAGGAGGATGGGAGTGTCTGATTGGACGAGAAGGCTGCAAACTCGGATGACCTCGGGTTGGTAAATCTGAATGGGGAGATGGTTGGATGTGGCTGGCTGAGGAGGTCACGGAGAAAGGTCTGTTCGTGCAGCTATGGGAGGATCCTGGTAGATCTCCATTGGAGTGAGAAGACAGAAAACTGTCTCCTTCGTTGGGTGACATCACTTGGTTGATCTGGCTGCTAGCATCTCCTGAGCTACTACTGTTGCTGCAACCTGGCTTTATTGCAGATGGCATTACTGTAACACAAAAAAATCGCAAATGGTAAACCACACATAAAAAGTGGAATAATTCAGTTATTTTGCTTCGCTCTGCTCTAGGCCTGTCACGATAACTACTTTTGTTGGACAATATATTATCCCAGAAATAATTGCGATAAACAATATTTCATCATTTTAAGACAATTTCCTAACCCTGATATAATGATAAGCGTAAGTACACCCTTTCAAAGAGCAATGAGTTTTAGAGAAAAACATTCATTGTAATTGGAATGCAAAAAAAGTCATTATTATGAGAGACCTAGATTACATACATACATTGTACACTGCTCGCAATAAAACACCACAGTGTTGGGAAAACCAGAAAAACAAGAAAGGGTGACAGGTTCAGTCAGTCACAATCATCTGAGAATGAAAAACTCACTGCCACTTTAAAGTTTGATATTCACCAACTGGACATGCATTTCATATGAAGCAGTCAGGTTCAATTTATTTTAAGTTTTTGGATATTCAACAGCTACACTTCATGCAAATAGCCCTAATTAAATAGCATCAATTATTTGCATAATAAATTGTCTAGTCCTATCTGCCTCTCCCAACCACCAAGTGGCTAACATTTCTCATCAAACAGCTACAATACATTTAATTAAATTTCACTGTTTACACTTTGTGTTTATCTGAAATGTAGAATGCGCCACACACACTTACTTGGCTTTGTAGCTTTAAGGGAACCATCTCGATTAATAACGACATCAGAGCTGTCCATCAAGAGCATGCTCTGTCCTGATAAGATGCTGCCCAGTAGGTCAGGTACAGGAGCTGCCTCCACAACACCCCCTGATTGGGGGACATCCATACCCCTCCTGGTATAGCAAAGCAAACCATTTATTAGATCAACCATAGGTAATACCATAAATATTAATCAAGTTAGACACCATGTTAATCACAGAGACTGAGAAAACTATGAGTTATTACATATAAGCAAAAATCATGTGTAACGTGATGCAAATTAGTTTGTGTGGAATGATTGTTTAATCATTTAATTGGCTCATCAGTTTAGTTAAAAACAATGACACGATCCAAATCAGAACCTGTTTTGGATAATCAACCCTACACATCATGGCAAAAAGGGGATGTTACCTGGAAAGGCTTGCAGTGAATGGTCGAGCCACAGGCTGGTGAGAGCGAAGGGCAGAGCGAGAGATCCCTCGTCTCTTGGCCTCCAACAGTGATGTAACGTGTGCCTGCTGTTCTTCCTCCTCACTAGTCAAATCAATATTGTAAGGCACAATTTGCTTATTAATTAACACTGTATATGCTCAGCTTCACACAAATACATAACCACAGTAAAACACACATAAATGGATTTGTAATTGTAAGTTGGCATTCACTATTTCATCAGAAAAAACTATTTGCATCGCACAGCCAAACAGCAAAGATAACAGCTTGGGAGCATTTTACACTTTCAGATGATAAGAGAAAAGCTTTTCAAAGAAGCTGTTTAAAATATATGATAAGTTATCAACGAGTCAGGAGCACTAGACCAGTATGCAAGTGGCACTAGTAACCATCTCTATACATTCCCTACATATTTTATCATATCAGAAACTTGAATGATAAATGAATGATTGAATGAATGCATATATAAAGCCAGTAAAATGGTATTCACGCCAGCCCAACAATGTGAGTTAAGTAAATCTTCTTACCGTTCAGTAAATGGATCCAGGTCAAATGGATCTCCATAGATAGACAGGGATGCAGCACCTATGTCAGCACGCATGCCACTTAGCGTGTGCTCTGATGGTCGGTATACTGTAGGAAGTGAAGAGCTCTTCTTGTCCTTTACAATTCCCAGATTATTAGCAATACGGCGTCGAGGAGTGGCTGCCTTTTTAAACATCTAATGGGAAAACATAGGTATAGAGTTTGTCTAGAGAGAAAATAATGAACTATTGCTCCCATTCAATGTGAAATTTTTCTAGTGAACCAGTTAAAAGCAAATCACTTAAATCAAGACTGATCTTGATCACACACTCACCGCTTTTTTTTTGGATTTAGTCCTCCTCATTTTCCGTTTCCTCCTCCTGACTCCTGTACTTGCCATTTTACCCAGAGCAGAAGATGTCTTCCTCCTTTTTACCTTTCTGCGCTTTTCTGTTCAATCAATCATAAAAGTTATCCCTCATCATAAACACATTACTATTTCATAGCTCTCTCTTGGGATTGTACCAAGAGCGAACAGCTCTGTGGCCCTGATGCTGAACTGCTGGCCGTTGGACTCCGTCCATATCATCTACCGAGAGAAATCCCGCACGTCATCATCGTTGTCGTACATCCCTCCCTCTGCAAACCCAACATCCTGCTATGTGCCTCTGGTGAAGAGGAAGCCTGCGACCACTTTACACTTGCCATTTTTGCACATTAGAAAGTGTGACTTTAAATTATACAATATATATTCTTCATATATGTATGTCTATCTCATATGGAGTATGTAACGAAAGTAATTTCCCCCTGGGATTATTAAAGTATGTCTGATTCTGATTCTTATCCTTCCACTACCTTTGTTCATGTGTATGTGGTTGTAAAATCTGAAATTTGTTGTGTATTTACTTACTGCGCCTGTGGCTAGATGGGACACGAGGTGTGAAGTCTCGTATATACACAGACGTGTTGAGCCCAGCCACTACAGCATTAATTGTTTCATCCAGCCAAGTGGACTGTATTAGATACGTAGGAGCCAACTAACAGGAAAAAAGGTTGTATTACTCCACTGGTATGTTTTCAAAAACCACTGACGTCTGAACACAACACCCAAATACATGCACTGCTCCTTAACACAAGCAATTAAATTGCTTATCAAATTGGTAAATGTCAAAAACACATGCCACCATCAACAGCACTAAAGTACATTAGCCAAATACACATCACAGTGAGTTCTAAATGTTATCAGTAAACCTGCAGAACAACAAACTTTCAAGACATTTCTGAAAGATCCAGCCTTGTGCATATGCTATGGAAGTTAGAAGATAAGCCAAAACAGAAGCATCACGCCTCATGCCAAACCTGTGATGTGCGTGCCTGTGTGATGCGATGACGGTTGACATTAGCTCGAACCCTCTCACTCTGCTGAGTCCGGGCGATAGCTCTGGTGGGACCGGCAGCGTGGGACTGGGAGCGACTGGTAGCAGGATGGGCAGTAGAAGGTAGGCTCTCTGTGTCACTAACTTCTTCAGCTGAACCCCCTGAGTCAAGACAATGTAAATGTTCGACTTGAAAAAATTGGTAAAAAGTTGAAAAACTTAAAATGGGCGAAAGTGACATTCATAAAAAAACAATTCTATAAATATGATGAATTCAAAACAAACACACAAAACGTTACCATGGCAACATTTTCAAAAAACCCTGAACTATACTGTATAGTACAAGATGGAATATTCCGATTCAGTTTTCTCCCTGTCTGCAAAGGACCACCAAATCCAAAGTATTGTTTGAGAATGAATTTAAAAAAAAGTCTAATAACTTAAAGGCTTACTTGAGTGACGGTTGTTGGCTACACACTCGGGGCAGAACCATTCCTCTACAGGAACAGAGTCAAGAGGTGGCGTGAGACACTCCATGTGATACCTATGGAACAAAAAAAGGCTTAACAAATTTCTCTCATGATATTACTGTTATTGTAATATACAGTGGGTACGGAAAGTATTCAGACCCCTTTCAATTTTTCACTCTTTGTTTCACTGCAGCCATTTGCTAAAATCAAAAAAGTTCATTTTATTTCTCATTAATGTACACTCAGCACCCCATCTTGACAGAAAAAAACAGAAATGTAGAAATTTTTGCAAATTTATTAAAAAAGAAAAACTGAAATATCACATGGTCATAAGTACTCAGACCCTTTGCTGTGACACTCATATTTAACTCACATGCTGTCCATTTCTTCTGATCCTCCTTGAGATGGTTCTGCTCCTTCATTGGAGTCCAGCTGTGTTTAATTAAACTGATAGGACTTGATTACGAAAGGCACACACCTGTCTATGTAAGACCTTAAAGCTCACAGTGCATGTCAGAGCAAATGAGAATCATGAGGTCGAAGGAACTGCCCAAGGAGCTCAGAGACAGAATTGTGGCAAGGCACAGATCTGGCCAAGGTTACAAAAGAATTTCTGCAGCACTCAAGGTTCCTAAGAGCACAGTGGCCTCCATAATCCTTAAATGGAAGAAGTTTGGGACGACCAGAACTCTTCCTAGACCTGGCCGTCCAGCCAAACTGAGCAATCGTGGGAGAAGAGCCTTGGTGAGAGAGGTAAAGAAGAACCCAAAGATCACTGTGGCTGAGCTCCAGAGATGCAGTAGGGAGATGGGAGAAAGTTCCACAAAGTCTATCACTGCAGCCCTCCACCAGTCGGGGCTTTATGGCAGAGTGGCCCGACGGAAGCCTCTCCTTAGTGCAAGACATATGAAAGCCCGCATAGAGTTTGCCAAAAAACACATGAAGGACTCCCAGACTATGAGAAATAAGATTATCTGGTCTGATGAGACCAAGATTGAACTTTTTGGCGTTAATTCTAAGCGGTATGTGTGGAGAAAACCAGGCACTTCTCATCACCTGCCCAATACAATCCCAACAGTGAAACATGGTGGTGGCAGCATCAGGCTATGGGGATGTTTTTCAGCTGCAGGGACAGGACGACTGGTTGCAATTGAAGGAAAGATGAATGCGGCCAAGTACAGAGATATCCTGGAAGAAAACCTCTTCCAGAGTGCTCAGGACCTCAGACTGGGCCGAAGGTTCACCTTCTAACAAGACAATAACCCTAAGCACACAGCTAAAATAACAAAGGAGTGGCTTCCGAACAACTCTGAACATTCTTGACTGGCCCAGCCAGAGCCCTGACCTAAACCCAATTGAGCATCTCTGGAGAGATCTGAAAATGGCTGTCCACCAACGTTCACCATCCAACCTGACAGAACTGGAGAGGATCTGCAAGGAAGAATGGCAGAGGATCCCCAAATCCAGGTGTGAAAAACTTGTTGCATCATTCCCAAGAAGACTCATGGCTGTACTAGCTCAAAAGGGTGCTTCTACTCAATACTGAGCAAAGAGTCTGAATACTTATGACCATGTGGTATTTGTTTTTCTTTTTTAATAAATTTGCAAAAATTTCTACATTTGTTTTTTTTCTGTCAAGATGGGGTGCTGAGTGTACATTAATGAGAAATAAAATGAACTTTTTTGATTTTAGCAAATGGCTGCAAAGAAACAAAGTGAAAAATTGAAAGGGGTCTGAATACTTTCCGTACCCACTGTACGTATAATTTATATTGTTTAACACTGTGTGGGTAGAACAACTGTAACAAACAAATGTCCCCACAGGGATCAATAAAGTAATTCTGATTCTGACAGGTTTGACTGAAAAAAAGGCAACAACTGACTTTCTAACACAAGAACAAAGGGTTATTTAGTGCAGTAATGTCTAGCTCACCCAGCATCACAGCCATCGCAGAGCAAGAGGCGGTCCTCACGGTCACTGCCTCCACAGACCTCACAGCTGGTCTGCTCCAGGTCCAAATCTACTCTTTCCTCTTGACCTTCTTTCAAAGGCTTTTGAACTGTGATCTAAATGAAGCGGTCACAAAAATAACACACAAGCAATAAGCCCACACAACATTAATGCATGTAGAGTAATAAATGTACCAGGAATTATGCTACCAAACACTGAATGCACTCACCATTTTCTTCACTTTGCCTCCATAACATTTTCTTAGGTATATGCTGTTGAAGGCAATGCGGTCTACAGGACACGAGTTTGCATTCTGTATAGGGTAGAACATAGCCACAACCATTCAGCTTCCTCTTCCTCAAATCACGTTGAGCACATACTGATGATAAAAGTATATAAAGGTGCTATCTAACAAAGTGCTTACTCCTTGCACTCATACAACATTAAGTTAGACCCACCTTGGTCCATTCAAGGATGCAGTCGAGACAGAAATAGTGCTCACAGCTCTCTGGTGTTGCAACAGGCTGGCTGTTAAATGAGTTAAGGCAGATGGGACACCTGTCTGTGTCATCATCCGAGCTCATCCCCGCAAGGTCAGCAGATGTTCCCCCAAAAGCTCCATCCTCAGCCTTAACATCTTCCTCTTCTTCCTCATCTAATAAAAGTAGGTAGAAATCTATTGTGTAATGTATCACAGATGCTTATTTTTCCTCTTTCAACTCTACAAGTAAATAAAATCAAATATTGTGTAGGTTTTATGAGAGCAAGTAAAAAATATAGTGTATTTTGTAATTTAATGAAAAAAAGTAGGCTGCCACCAACACCATCAACATATTTGACAACAATATAAATTGCATATTCAGTCACTCCTACCATCCTCTTCTTCCTCCTCCTCCTCCTCCTCCTCTCCATCTAGGTGACCCTCCTCTTCTTCCTCACCACTGTCAGATTCTCCCTCCTCAGACTCCTCTTCAACATCATCCGAGTCATCTAGGAAGTAAAAAAATATATAATAAAATACACAGAAAATGCACGAGGTCTTAAAAGCTTCTGTGTATTGTTTGACACTATAGTCTTATGGAAGTGGATGCAATTTGCTGAAAGAGTTTACGCATTTGTTCATCAGCGCTGAATGATGCATAACAAACTACCTGAGATGGCCCACAACGCAGCCCTTTTCCCTTTGCTCTGGGATGTATTGCGGTTGATCAGCTCATCTTGGCTGTCATCTTCATCCATGGCTGACCATCAGAAGAACAGAGGAACAATTTCCCTGTCAGCTTTTCTCTAAAACAATCCTTAAAAGATAGAACACAGTCGCAGACAGTGTTTAAATAATATACAATGGATATTTCAACAACTGGATTGAATCAAGAATTATGTGTACGGCTAACACCTAAGGCAATCTACTCACTCTTTAAAGGGCAGGTGAAAAGGGCAAGTTTTTCCTGTCTGAGCAGAAAGGTAAAATGATCTTCAAACATGTGCTCTCAGTCTACTACTAGATGTAGTAATACCTACAGTGAACAGACACACAAGCTCTTCTTACTACCCGCGAGTGACATTTGAAACTATGAAACAGCGCTTTTAATGGACACAGTTTGGTTACGTACTTTTATACTGACTGAACAGGTAACACTGGCTAGCAAGCCAATAGCAGTCTGCAGACTATGCTAACGCTACATTTGTAAACAAAGAAGAAAACTGTGCACCAAACAAGAGTGCTTCTTTTATGCCTCATGTAAAAACACACATGCAGAGTATATGTAGATATAAGCATAAGAGATACGACACTATGGGACTAGCCTTTAACGCTGTTACTGAACAAATGACGGTAGCTAAGTTAGTAACATTAGCTTCTGCAAAGCGTGTTAGCTAGCCCCAGAAAAGCTAAATTTAGCGAACGAGTAGCAAGCTCCTTTCGGACCCTACACTCAGAAACAGTGTGTGGAGGAATTATCCACTAATTCCCAATTGAACCCTCATACCTAAAACATCCGAATGCGTCAAATTTTAATGGTAATTTTTCAAAACGTACCCTAAAGTAAAGGTAGGTATGTGAGAGTGATTTGAAGTCTCCACGGTTGTTGTTGAGTGACACCACCGGCTGCTTACAGACGGAAAAGGCCGAGTGCGTTCGGAGGACTCTTAAAGAGACAGTAACCATTTATTTGAGACGAGTCGTAGACACACCCGTATATGCACGGGGATGTAACAGGGGCGGAGCTAGAGGGGTGGCCGGGGTAGCACTGGCCACCCCTGGAACCTGATTGGACACCCTGGGTGCCACCCCAGTTGATGAACAGGTCACTGCACTTCACATCGAAAACAACAAGATTTCTAAACGCAAACAGAGAGGAATAAAGAATAAACAGATAACAATGAAGAGGAAGGGAGATATTTCCAACTTTTTTGCTAAAAAAAAACCAAATCAGGCACAGACAGACCCCAGCCCAGATATCAGCAGCCCGGGCAGCTCCCAACATGAAACTAGCCAGGCAAGTCATTAATTAATTAATTAATTAATTAATTAATTCATACTTCCTTACTTCCATGGAATGGCGCCGGCGACAACGGCAGCCTGTCATGGCAGCTCCTACCATTGTTGTAGTTTCAGTGTGTTTTTTGCTATTTTTAACTGTTTTCTTACTTTCTTATTACTTTGTTCATGTCGCCTAAATACTTTTTTGGCGTTTTTGAGCACTTTTTATTTTTTGTTTGCACGGGTCTCCATGGCGACGGCGAGTCGCATTGTTTACATCCGCGACCAGATGATCGCCCTGAGGTACCCGAGCATCCTGACTGGAGAGAGACCCTCCATACCGGAGGAGCTGAGGAGGAGATGGCGAGGCTGCAGATTCTCCTGTACAGCACTTTGGTCAACTTTTTAAAGTGCTTAACAAATAAAGTTGGATTGGATTGGATTAATTCTCATACCAATGGCGTCTTTATTTGATCATTGAGCTGAGTTTGCGCCTAGTGTCCATGATGTGCAGTCTTCTCTTTGTTTTGCCCAGACACCGACTTTTCCCACGGGTGTTTTTGATTTCCTCATGAATGATGGCGCACCGGTTTAATTGCTGCACCAGAAACTGAAAGTGAAACTTAGGTCCATTTCCTCCAGCCACTTTCCGTCCGTCATAGAGCTCTTTTTTCTGAGTTTAACTCAACAGTTATTAGGAAATATCAGTGTCAGTGCCAGGTTAGCTCAGTCGGTAGAGCTGGTGACCCATGTATGGAGTTGCTGCAGTGACCTAGGTTTGAATCCAACCTGCGGTATCCCAGGATTTTCCTTTATTGGGCCTAGTATATGGCCCCCCTCATAAAACCTTGACCACCCTCTGGCCACCCCCCCGCATAAAAGTCTAGTTCCACCACTGTGGATATAACCGCACAGCCTAAATACAATATTCCTTACAATAAAGAATACATAACTACAGCCTATATAATCTTCTGTATAACGATATATGACTGGTGGATTTTGAACACAACGCTGCATTCTTTTGGTATTTCCCCAAACCGACCTACTTTAGATCGGACCAGTGCTACTTATTTATGCTTATTTATCTATTAATTTATTATTTTATTACCTACTTTATTATATGGCATCAGCGTGAATGGAAACGCTACAAATTCCTTCGTCACAACTGCTGGTCGCCTCATTAGAACTGGATTGGAGCGCATTCCCCCCAGTTCACCCAGCGTTAACCCTGAACCGGTGCTACACGACTCACCTGTAGAGGTAAACCTAGCACCAGTGGCACAGACACACTTAAAGGAGGGAGAGGAAGAGCAGAATAGCAGCTCTTCATGCAATCGCTCTTTAATTCACAGGAGTCATTCTGGCGGTGAGAAAGTTCAGCCATCTCCTCTCTCTCTCTCAATCTGTGCCCTGATATCTCAAACCCAGTACTTGACCCAGAGACATCACAGCCTGCTGGCACAGAGTCAGATTGAAATTCAGCATTTTATTTGGCAGCTGCTTATTCCATGACCAGAGCACACATTTTAGCAGTAATCGCCAGGCTCAGAGAAATGGGGTACTTTGCCATTGCTCAAACAAGAGTGGTGGCTTTGTTGTCCATGGCTCGAGCAACAATTTCAACTTTTTTGACTATGGCCCAAGCAAGTATTGCTGCTGTTATTCACCCACTCCAAGCAAGTATTGCTGCTGTTATTCACCCACTCCAAGCAAGTATTGCTGCTGTTATTCACCCACTCCAAGCAAGTATTGCTGCTGTTATTCACCCACTCCAAGCAAGTATTACTGCTGTTATTCACCCACTCCAAGCAGGTATTGTTGCTGTTATTCACCCACTCCAAGAAAGAATTGCTGCTGGTTTTTCCACAATTCAAGCGACAATGGCACGATGGAGCCAGCAGAGGACCCGCTACTGGACCGGCTGTTCCCCAACACTTGTATGGACGGCTTGTGTGGGTACAGTATGCCAATCTGATATATATAGGCTATATACATATATATATATATTTTTTTCCATATATTCTTTTAAAATAATGAATAATCATTTCTAGCCGGCAAACTGCTTTTGACCATCCATCACTACGTCCTACTGACTTTTAGTAATATGGTGGCACTGAGGCTAATCCTCCAGTGTCCACGTGGTGTAACTACACAGGACGAAGAAATGCAACAGGTCTCACATTAGCTTCCACTCCCCTGGTTATAGCCTTTAATACAGCACAATCTGCCTTCCAATCGTTACAGATATTCCCATTGTCAAAATGATCACTTGCTTTAAGTTCAGATTTGAAATGGCCAATTCTATTTGAACGCGTCACGTCAAACGGAACGGCCTCAAAACAGTGTCCTCGCGCACCAACATCACGAGCCACAGAGTGGTCTCTGAAACTGCCCTTATGGAGCAACACGTACTCATCAGCTGAAACAGCAGCCTCAGCAGCTGTAGTCGTTTTCCATTATGTTATGTATGTTGCAATGCATTCTGGAAGACGACTATTTTATAAACTGCTCCAACATCATCAAATCACACAACTCATCAAAAGTAGTGACTTCAAGCGCAGTTAACCACCGCTTATAATGAGGTGACAAGTCTCTGGCAAACTCTGCGTATGTTTGACCATTTTTCTTCTCCCAGGACCTAAAACGCTGACGACATGCTTCCGGCACAAGTGCATAAGCCTTAAGTAGGGCTGCTTTTATTTTGTCATAACTAGAGCTATATCCTCCACAGTCAAAGATGAATATGCCTCCTGCGTCTTTCCTGATCATACACTCTGAAGCATGAGGGCACACAGTCTGCATCAAGCCAATTCCTAGCCTTAGCTACGCGTTCAAAAAGGAAGAAAAAAGGGTCTGGGTCATTAAATCGTGGTAACAAGCGCAAGTTACTGATGTCAAACCGATCAGAAGACCTGGGCAGCTGCCTGCTCACAGCCTCGCTGGACAATAGGCCATCCCTCACCAGAGACAAACGATATCCCTCCAAATCTATTTGAGCTTTTTCGGATATCTGACGGATTCTCGGCATTTCAAGATGTTTTTTTAACCTCTAGTTCTTGTTTTAATTTTGTCATGGTCCAACTGCAACATCAGAATCTCTTTTTGTTGCTCAAAAGTGAATCCATGAGTCTGAAAAGACACAGCAGGAGGATTTGGAGAAAAATCCCCCTTAGCCTCAGACATTATACCATCGTCAATTAGCTTAGCTTTTATAGCCGCTTCTCTTTGAGACGTTTGTCACCTTCGACCTCCACTGAATAATGTGCAGCAATCTTGAGCAACTGCTCTTTTCTGCATTTATCCAGGGACTCTTGAGATGGGTTGGCAATAAATGCTTCAACTTGAGACATTACAAAAGCACAACAAACAAGGCCAACACCAAACTTTTAGGCACGCCAAAGGACCAGATAGCCACAACGCCTATCTAAACCCAACCAGCTAACTCAACTCCCCCCCCGTCTTCATGTGATTACTTGTGGTGGGTATTTATGCACTGTTGACCGCTGGATCAGGAAGTAGTGATGGGTCGGTAGCAAACGATCCGGCTCTAAGAGCCAGCTCTTTGAAGTGAACGACGGGAGCCGGGGATCCAGATTTTTTCGCCGTTTCTTTTTTCCCCAAGTTCTCTCGCTCTCTTCCGTCTCCCTCTCACCTGTTTGTGTGCTCACTGTGGCTGTGTGTCTGTAACCCCTGCCTCCCCCCTCCTGCTCAGTGTACATACACAGACGCTGCCACACATCTTGGCTTTAACAGAAAAAAATGGGGGATAAATCTGGATATGGCTCCCAATCAAGAGCCGGCTCCCGTCGTTCACTTCAAAGAGCCGACTCAGAGCCGATCGTTCGCGACTGACCCATCACTACACAGGTGGGAGGGAGACGTGAGAGAGCGAGAGAACTTGGCACTACATAGACAGGAAACGTAAAGTTTGGACACATCTTAATAATCCTCCAGTGTATAATCTATATAAATAATATAAATATAATCTATAATAATAATATAATAATAAATAAAAATGTATATATAAATCTATTTTATACATAAATCTATAAATAAAAATTCTAATCGTTAATAAATCGTGATTTGCATTGTTTATTATTAATGCCATACATACTTGCATTTTGAATAAACATTCATTATTAAGAAAAACATTACCATGAAACAACAGCACAGCGTTACTTTCACTAAGTGTCTGTTCACAATAAAGGAAATGTTGCCTTGGTAAAAGATAGGAGGTAAGCATCTCCCCACATCCTCTTTCATTCATTCTCATCCTCTCTACTTTGTTGCTTTCATGATGTTGGTAACTAAACTTTCTTGCAGGTGTTTCACATTTAAAGCCTTCACTTGAAAGGATTATAGTTACAGTTGCAAAAGGGCCTTCTGCAACATTAATGTCTGATTAATCGCCACCACATCTCCATCCGTTCAACAAGATTGGACGGCTGAGGATGCTAGTACATTCCTGCCTCCTTCTTTACTCCACAGTATTGGCGGCTCCATCCCCATTGTGTTTTCCTATTACTCTGAGTTTCTGGCCCAGGAGAAACAAGGAGAGCATCTGAGCTGGCTCTGCATGTTCTGGATGATCGGTGGGATCTACGCCTCCGCCATGGCCTGGGCCATCATCCCACACTATGGTGAGAAAAACAAACAGATCACTCAGTCAGGAAATCATTGTGTCAGACAATATGTACTTAATGTGTTAGTCAACCAGCTAAACAGCCTGTTACTTAACCATTTTATTTTTCACCACAAAATGGGATCATTTGCATTGGACAGGGGTGGAATCTAACTATAATTACTTAAGACTTTTTCTAATTACAGTTTTGAGGTACTTTTACATATTATCCTATTTTATGCTTCCACTTTACTAAAATTTCAGATGGAAATATTCATATCTACAAGACCTTTTTAAGTTACAGATGAATATTTCAAAAAATGTGATCAACTTCTAAAATATAATGCATTTTACAGGTTAATCAACCCAGTCTTATTTTGATTGGCCCTAATCATAATAAATAGTAATAAATATAATATATAACATAAGGAAGAGATACTATTCAATACTTATTCCACCACTGCCTTTTGATGCTTCACTATGGAACAACTACATTAGTGGCTCTCAGGGTTCAGAGATTTTCAGCTGTGTTTTAATGGGTTGCAAAACAAGAATTACCTTAATTTTCATCTTGTTTAGTCAACAGCAGTTATCTTAATTAGGTTAGGTATAATCAGAACTTATTTGATCAGTGGTTTCAGCCTTTCTACTAACAGTGTGTGTTAGTGGTATAAAATTGCAAGTTTACTGTAGCTCTTGCTTCGCTTAGAGGAGTTACCAGACTGAATGTTTTCAGCAGCTATACAAATAGTATAGCACAAAGAAAAGAACAGCTGTGTAATGAGCTTCTTTACATACATGATCCTGCTACGGAGCCTTCATCTAGAGAGAGTCTGTGGTCTAAAGCATGTATGTTTACTGTAGATGTTTCAAGGCTAGGCAATCAATTATTTTCATTATAGCTGTCTTGTCTGGGGCTATAAGACATCTTAGTTTCATTGTTGATCCAGTAACTCCCTCCATTTAGCATTTATAAGAAGTAAATAAACACATAATAATGATTCATACCACTCAAAATGCAGGTGAAAGCTGATATAAAGACATTTCAATTGTCTATAAATGTATTTGTTAACAATTCTAACTTCCTGCATAACTCATGAAACATCTGTACATCATGACTGATGACACATTGTAACATAGCTGTGATCATATTTAATGACAACACAAAGCCAAATCTGTACAGTCTTCCGACAAAGTCTGAATATTTTGAATGGAGTACATATTCCTTCTGTTGTAGTAACTTCCTATTTGTGTCAAGGCTCTTTTCTAGATTTTTGACCTGCATAATGTACTGTATGTTATACTATAAAAACATATTGGCAAAAGGAGAGAAACCTGGCTAAATAAAATGGTGCACATATGATAAAGTCACTGCAATGCAGTTTTCAATCCCTGCATGAAACCAGAGCATTACGGCATCAAAAGAGGAGTCTTGCAGCTGCCTCTTAGCTCTTGTTCTCTCTGACATCGCCTTTCTCTATCTCCTCAATTAGGCTGGAGTTTCCAAATGGGCTCAGCCACAGTTCCACAGCTGACGTGTCTTTGTGTTGGTGTGTGCCCTACCCTCTGTGGCGGCCATCTCTGCCCTCACCACCATGCCTGAGAGCCCCCGCTTCTACCTGGGGGTCAGCCGGTCAGCTCTCGCCACATTCAGTCCTTGTTGAAATATTATTTGAAAATACGTTGCCTTCTTGACTGCAAAAACAGCCTTGAAAAAAGAATGGATCCGTGCACTTGCCAAGTGGAAGATGCTGTGCTGTAGACAAAGTGCTGCTTACACACTTTTCCAGAATATTTTGAATAAATAATTATGTACATATACATACTGGAGCAGGCAAAACAAGCTATTTTTATTCAGTGTATCTTGAATACTGACACACTAAAAAATGAACTGAAAAGTTAGAGATAATATACAAGATTTAATTTGATTCTTATTGATAATGTTTTTGAAATGTTCAATTCATGAAGGAATCTTCCACAGCTAGTATACAGTATGACATCTAGTGCAGTGGTGATTTTTGCAGTCTAAGATTATTACCATCCCCATATCCCCCACAGTCTGTTTATGTGCTACTAAGCCACTTTTAGCTGTCAAAACCAAAGATAGATTTTAATTTATTCATGTATTCACTGCTTTGTACAAACAGAAACTCTTATTTCTGTTGTATTTTTCCAAATGTTCCTGCATGGTTTTTTATTTTTTCGTTTAACTTTGATGTTTTAAGACCCCTGTTGTCACCCACCCACACTTCCTTTGATACTCACTAACATCAGCAGCTGGTTGCAGAGATACAGATAAAAAAAATCTGCAAATTTGTATGAAATAGTACATTGTTTAACATTTCCACATAAAAGTGCATTATACGTTTAATTTAGTCTAGGTTTTTATTGCAAGATCACTGCTTTAAGTCTCACAATGTAATTTGACTGTGCATAAGAATGTATGCACAGATTTGCACTGACATGTCTTTGAGCCTTAAAGGAGTAAATGTTTGAGAAGACTGATACCTCTCTTCTGTATGTAGGGAAGCTACAGCCACAAGCAGGTTAGCTTAGCTTAGCATAAAGACTAAAAACAGTGGGAACCAGCTCAGTCCAAAGGTAACAGAATCTAGCTATATATAAATATATCTTGTTTTATTAAACAAATTAGATATAACATGTTACTTAGTCAAATATAGAAGTGCTGGTAGGCAGATTTTCTGGCTTTTGTACAGAGCCAGGAACTGTTTCCCTTGTTTCCAGTAGCCTATTTGTGCTACACTATGCCAACTGACTGCTAGATTCATATTTGTGTGGTACAGTATCAATCTTCTCATCTAACTCTTGATAAGAAAGCAAATACGTGTATTTTCCAAAATGTGAAACTATTCCTTTAAGCACTTAACCCATATTTGCACCAGTGTGTGCATGTGAAACACGAATTGCTGAATAAAATCAATGTGTTGTATTAAAATAGAAGCAAAGCTTTTTATATCCTGAAAACATTTTCCTTAATTGGCTGTTGAATATTGATTTTCAACATCTAATTCTTCCAAATGTGTGTCAGACGTTTGTGGTGTTTGGCAGTCATTTCATGCCGTCTTACAAAGTTGCTGCTTAATGATTGAATCAAAACATAACTCAGTCTTACACCACATCACTAACCAGAAAAAAAACAGAGGCTTCACAAACTATAGCAAGCTGTAAAGACATGTTGAATTATTGAGAGTGACTCACTCACCACATGTTGATAACCTTTCACCCTCCCTGCTTTGGGTTTAAGTTTTTTGTTTTTCTCCTCCAGAATGGGAAACACGACGAGGCATGGATGATTCTGAAGCAGGTCCATGACACCAACATGAGGGCGAAGGGCTACCCAGAGAGGGTCTTCTCTGTAAGTCACACCCAGTAATCATATTGTCACTATTGTCTGTATGCAGGAAGAAATGTCTTCACACAGCGCTTGTGTGTCTGTCTGTAGGCTAGTGCAGTGCAGCAGGTTTTGAGCTCTGGGATGCATACATTTGCATATTAATAAGTTAAAACAGATTTTCTTTAAACTACTGTAATCTCTTAATGCTTCAATCCCCACAGTTCATATTAATAGTTTAGTGAAATATGGTGATATAAATACTGTATAACCTCTTATTACTGCATTAATGAGTAAAATGAAGTAGCATAACTGGTGGCTGTTTTGTTGTACAGATTTACAGACATTTATACATTAATTAGAATAATGGGGAATACTAATATAGAAAGAACATTAATTTTACTGATTATCTGTAATATTTCAAAGCAAGTGTTTACAGACGAAGAAGCAATGGAAAATCCTATAATGAATTAATTATATTTTTTGTATGGTTGATATCACATACATATCAAAGCATGTTTTATTCTTTCACACACACAAAGCCACTTTTAATTGTTTCAATAGCCTGTGTGCAAAATTGGGTTGGTATCAATACAAATTATGAAAAACAAGTTTTGAAACAAGTGATATGAAGAAACACAATTAACAATCATCAACAGTTGTGCTGTTGTCTCCAGGTGACTACCATCAAAACCGTGAAACAAATGGATGAACTGGTGGACCTGGGCGACGGTGCCGCCTGGCATCAGAAATGGAGGATAAAGCTAAAGCTCTCTACACTTTTCCATCAGGTGATAAACCCTGCAGTTTGTTCTTCTATTTCACTGTTTCTTATTTAGGAATATCAACTGTACATTGAACCACACTGAGGACAGATCAGGACTAGAATTCTGAATGAGAGTGGTGTCTTCTTCTCATCTAACTCTTGTTTAATTGTAAGGAAAATTTGAAGCATCACAAACAGATATTACAATCAAGGGAATTAGGAAAACCAAAATTTGCAAGACTTTGCTCTGCTCAAGCTTTATTTATTTGCGAATTCTCTTTGTCTTTGTGGACGGTGTGTATTTAGTGACAGGACGTGTTTGTCTCACAGCTTGTGCTGCTGAAGATGTCTCAGTTTGTTTACTCTATGCTGTTACGGCCCTGGCCGTATTATTAGTATTGTGTTCGTTTGTGGTGTGTGTTGTTGTTTTTTTGTCCCTGTTTCTCTGCGGGAGTGTGCCGCTTGTCGAATGTACAATCTTTGACGGCAACCCATAGGTCAGCTCTGACTGGTCCATGCCGTGGGCACGGATTCAAAACGCCGGACCGCACAGAAGTTTTTCGACAGAACCCTCAGCAGCAGCATCCTTCTGTCCTCGGTTTAGAGAGTGTTTGTGTTTGAAATAGCGTGTTGCTTGGTGAATTGTTAAAATAGTATTCGATTGTATTTCCGTATGGTTGTGTATATAGTGAGTATCATAGGGGTGAGCTGCCATTTCCTTTGTACTGCTTTTTTCTTCGTTTTTCTTTAGGTTAGGGAGTTAGATTTAGTAACTGTATTTTATTTTATATTAAGTAGGGATTAGTAAGGATTTTTGTGTAAGAAAGTTAGCTCTGTTTTGTTTGTTATTTTGGCCTTGGTTCACCCTGAAGATTGTTGGTTGTTTTTGTTGCACTTTGTTTCACCTGTTTGTAAATAAATCACATCACTTGATTGTTAAGACTGTGTTAGTTGTTCGTTTGGGAATCAGGGAAGGATTATTAGTTCATTTTCATCACACGTTTATGTGGCGCTCCTTCCCCCTGGGGCATAACATAAATTGGGGGCTCGTCCGTTCTTCATTAATTTATTTTTTTGTCCTGTGCTCCTTAGTAAGAAAAAAATGAAAGAAAAAAAAAAAACTCACTAAATTTTGTCCTATCTTACGTTTGGTTGGTGATTTTTTTTCTTTTCTGTGTGGAGGTAAAATGGATTTTCAAATAGATGAATTTGCACAAAATCCCACTTTAGAAAAATTAGATAGATGCACAAAAGCACAATCAGGGTTAGTTGCTAAATTTTTTGACATCTCTGTTCCTTTGAACGCACGCAAAGCAGAGATTAAACACAGTTTATCAGAACAGCTGGTGGAGAGTGGCATAGTTAGGCAGACAAAGCCAGAGAGGGTTCATGCACCGGAGGTTTTAGATGAGGAAGTGGGAGTGGAGGCTGCCACAGCCACACAAGCCTTCGGCGGCCAGGTGAGTGCGAGGGCGGAGGCTCCGGTTGTCACCCAGGCCTATAGCATGGATCCGGTAGCTCTACTACAGACTGGAGTAGATACGGAGGATCTGAAGCTGGCCCTCCGCATGAAAGAGTTGGATCTCGAAACCAAGTCCACAGATTATGCACCTCCGCATAAGGGCTCTGGAGCTGGATCGTCCGCATCCGACTACTCCCATTCCTGTAAGTATGCGTCCTCCCACCGCTTCCTCTGAGCAATTTGATGTAAGCATAATTACAGTATTTATGCCTATTAGTGTGTGTCCATTAGAGTGTGTTCAAATATACTAAAAGCACACTCTGTAATCAAAATTTAGACAACAGTTACCAAAAACAAAAATCTAAACATAAGACATTAAACATGCTATCATTACCATTACATTTTGATTAACAGGTATTTTAATACATGAACTAACACGATACAACATGCTTTATGATGCTTTTTTTTTTTTTAGAGAGGATAGAGAAGTATAAAAAACACAAACAAAAGCACAATCAAATGTGTAACATTTGTGAGGATCTATTGGCAGAAAATGGAGTATAATATTCATAGACATGTTTTCACCAGTGTATAATTACCTGAAAATAAGGATTGTTGTGTTTTCGTTACCTTAGAATGAGCCGTTTATATCTACAGGGGGAGCGGGTTCTCTTCCACGGAGGCCGCCATGTTGAACCACCATATTTCTACAGTAGCCCTGAGTGGACAAGCCAAAGACTGGCGGTAGATAAAGCCTTCTGAGTATTTTCGCATTCACTGTAGTTTCTTCACACACTTGGAATAGAAAGGTGAAGCGATGGGGTTTCATCTGCAACTACACCACTAGATACCACTAAATCCTACACTATGGTCCTTTAAAAGAAAACACTGCACTCACAACAGAGAGTCGGGTTATAAATAACAGTACCCACCTTGACACAACTAGTAGTATAGTTCACAAGTGCACATTAATGATCAATTATGACAAAGTTATATTTTACATCCACTACCAGACCATCACTCTACACTAATCAGAACATTTGTATTATGACAGTGACTACAATATTTCTTCCCAGGAGTATCATGAACCCCAAGCAGTCAGTACAGTAATCTAGTACCACTGTCGCCCCCATGTGGTAACTTTAACTTCACAAAATCAGCTGTTACATAATATAATGTAATCCTGATTTACTACTTCATGTCATCGTGGGGTTATGTGTATCCTGGCTGTGAATAATCCCACAGGGCTTTGACAGTCAAGAACTGATCAGAGGGAAACTCTCGAGTAGTATCGGCCAACTAAAACCAAAAAATTTTTAAAAAGTTGTTTGATAATATCCTAGAAACAAAGAGAGAACACCATGTCCTAATCATCACATGGGGGGGGGGTTCTTATAATTAACCTTTAAAAAAAATCTATCATGTTGATAATAACATGATGGGATCACTATTATTTCACTGGGTATAATAAATGTTCTGTAATTATTGTTTTATTTGATTTTAAAATTTAAAGGGTAAACGGGTAGGGAACAAACAGTTTATTTGTAGTTCTAAATTAACAGGATGTAATAAAAATGTGTTAATGATTTTAGGGAGGTCTAAAACTCCCGTTCCGTAAATAACTGAGTGCTCATCATCTTCCTCCTCCACCTCCTCCTCGTCATCGTCAGATCAGACTGTCGTGCTGCATCCTTGGTACGTGCACAGCCACACTCTGCTCATGGCAACACTGTACACAAGTAAGCCGAGTTCAACCACTTCGCACTGTAGGGGTGGGGGCGTCCTTTATCAACCCGGCTAAAAGTACACTTATCCCAGCTCCAGCAGCAGCTGTCGCATCACATGGCGTCTATTTAAGGGAAAGAAACCTGTGTCGCATTGATGTTTGCAATAAATAATCGGCCGGGGCAGGAAACTATTCACACGATAATGGTTCATTCCTAATGTACGACGTGCAGAACTGAACGCGCCGCACCCCAACTATAACTCTAAAGGTCAACCTAATATGCTCTCCTGATAAAGCCCGCCTCCTAGAGATTTGTATTTGTCGATTATCTACGATGGGTGGGTCGTTCAACTCCAACTCGGCAGCACATTGGCTGTGCACGATGCCAGTTTCCCCCTCAATTTGCATAACCAGGTCGGGTTGCAGATGCAGGGGAGTGGGCAGGGTAGGGGTAGTGCAAGTGAACTGAACTTCTGCGTCGGTGTAGGCTACACTATAGTCTTAAAATGCACCTAACTTTAATCATGCACTGTGATTTATTTAAGAGAAAAAACAATTTGGATGTGTGGACAGATGGTAGACAGGGTCCTGTCGGTGAAAATGAAAGATTTCTGCCTTTAAAATTAATCCAAAAGAAAACTTGGGACTGGTAAGTAGCTGCCTTTATCTGCCACTATTCTTTATTCTCTCTATATGGTGTGGATGAATAGGCCACATGCAATGTATCATGAGATGTAATTTGTGTATTCATTTCTTTACTGTTGTCAGATGTAATAATTAATGATTTTGGAACTTTTTTCATGACAATTGAAATGGAAAGCATTTCAATATAGACCTATTTCGGTAGCCAAATACACCGTGGACTGAATTGAATTGTTATATAATTTGGTGTTGTGCATTTTAATTTAAATAAGGCTATTTTAGTAGAAGTATAATAAGCATAATTCATGTGAATAAAATATATACCACCAATCTACACTCTTAATGTTGATTTCGCGTGTTTTATTACTGTTTCATTTGCCAACCCTTGTCTGTGTTACTCCACAGATTATGTGTGCTTATGGTTGTCAGTATAATATCTGAGATCTAAAAGCAGGTAAGCCACTGACTAACGCACATTGTGCCAATTGCCAGTTCCACTGTGCGTGTGACAGCGGCTAACCTGGTTTTGGGAACACTTCTCATCTTTGGCTCGTTCAAGACCAGCCACAGCCGGACCAGACAGACACCTATCTACAGTACAAGCAGTTCTTGACCATGTCCCGTGCACATTGCTGGGACAGGGCCTGTTCAACATGACTGCTCTCCCAGCGGTCTCCATGTGTACTGTAGGGTACTTCCTCCTATGTTCACATACTGTCCCCCTATTTAGGGCCAGTAGCTTTTATACATTGCCTCCTATGGAGCCCGACCTCTCTAGTGCCACCTTCTGTCAAGACTATTGGTGAGTGTTTTGTTTCTGTTTCTGTTTCATTCATGTGGTTTAGACATAATAATCATCATCATACTGGCTGCTTTCGAATTTGAGGCCAGGGGCCCTCCGACAATAGTGAGCATTACTATAAAGACACTGAATTTGGTATTAGAACTAAATGGAAAATAATATAGTAATGTGTCCACCCATAGTAGAGGCAGTTTTCCAGTTTTAAAAAAAAACTAAATTGTGAAGCAAATCTGAGTTCCAAGTAAGACAAATTTTAACATTATGTATTACACCATGTTTGTTTGTAACAAATCCCTCAAGTGAAAAGTAAAGTTTCTACTCCAATCAATTGTGGCATCGTGTATCTTAATTTCTGTTTCACAATGTAATGTATTTCTTGGTACCAATGAGGCTGTGTATTCCCATCAGTGCATAATGACTCATTGTGACACAGAGGAATAGATAAGTGCAGTATGTCAGACTCATTAACTTGTGGCCCCATTCATCATCATAATGTGGACGTGCAGATGCTCACTCTCATCCACCTCGAGGAAGTTCTTTCCCAGACACCCGGTTCCCTGTCATGAATACGCATCGATCAGTTTTCATCCAAAAGCGCTCAAACGTCCAGCTTTTCATCCGAAACCTTCCACAGTAGATTTGGATGGGGGTCATGTGGAGTGCCATTGTATGAGCAAAATTAATTCCCTCAGCGTGGTGTCCTGAAACATCATCATAATCTGTTAATGTCCTGTTTATGAGATTGGACTCCTCTGGGTTTAGATATGAAATGGGTTAGGTTGGATATTTTTCACTCTGCATGGAGGATAATGGGGGAAAAATTACTTTTTTTCCCTCCTCTGCGTCACATGATCACATGACCTTGCATTGAATACTCTATTATTTTTAAAATGTAGAAGGTGTGAAATACAAAGAGAAAGCCTTTAGGTGTGCGTGCAGTATCCTTCACGTCCACAGATAGGCGTCAGTGTTGCCCCATGCTGTGGGCTTGTCCAGACAGTGGGAACTAAACAAGGATTTGGAGCTTATCTAACCCCTGCCAAGCCAGACAGCTCTAAATCTTCTCAGTAAAATCCAATTCTACATAATTAATCATAATATCTATCTCCTTACTTCAAAACACGTGGTCAAGCCTCGACAACACTGGCGTAAAGGGGAATTGACTGATTAAAAATATATGTATATTTGATGCTCTGTTGAAGTTTCTAATATCCCTTCATGTACATGTGGACGTGGAAAGAAAACACATGCATGCTTAGGATTGTACCTGGCAAGTGTCAGCAGATGAGAGTATTAATAGAAATCCACAGGGTTTCAGTCAGGGGTTAGCCAGAGCGCTAGGAAAGCTAAAGTCCCTCACTGTGTGTGACAGCCAGTATGTTTACTCTCCCGGGTAAACAAACAGGAAAGGGGTGGAGGACAAAAGTGTTGTGCAAAAGCCAGCCCATAGTCGGGCTACTGTGTGTTTACCATATTACGCCAGGCTGATTTTTATCAAGAACAACAGAATATAACAAAACAATGAGGCGTTTTGTTGTCAGTAATTTAAGGATAAGCAGAACACACATGGACTCAGAGGGGTAAAGTCCACAATTTTCTGCTATCAGATGTTCTCTGGTGGTAAGAGGAAGAGGCAGTTCATTATACTCATAGCATGAATATACAAGGAACTTCAAAAAACCATTGACAAGATACATTAACAACTAAGTGAATTACTAGCTCGGCTTCTCAAATGCTCACAAGAATGCCGTGCCCTTGTGCCTTTGTGGTCAAGTCTTGTAGATATAGTCCATTACATCATCTAGAACAGCAGCCGCTGTGATGCCGGGATGTTTGCCACATTTCCCTCCGCTCCCAAGGATGCACTTTGTGAACTTTCAACCAGCCACCTGTGAATACTGGCTTTAAAATGCCCTGAAATGATCATGCATCATAGGGCCCACTGTACCACAAGCAATGAGGAGAGAGCATGCATATTTCAGTGGCTATAATATATTCATATTGCATTTCACATAGGAGCTTCGTGGCCCTGTAATTTTTAGAAAGTGTACGCTGGTGTGTTAATTATTTACTGCAGGGTATTCCAGATGCACTGCACCTCCTCTCCTTGTTACAGTAATTACAAGGATGATTATAATACAATGTGATTCCAAAAACAGGGTATTAAGAAAAAAACAAGCACTCAACAAATGATTATCTAAAACACAATGCACATTTTTATTATATTTAAATACATAGTAATAGTAATAATTGCTCTAGGTAAAAGGTTTCTAAATTATTTTACATTTCATACAGATACTTTGCAGTGTTTACAGTAGCAAAACTCTGTAAATATATTTGTCTTAAGTATATACAGTATGTATATCATGATTAAATAATGACAAGAGTTACAAAGAAAGGGGTTAAATAGGCGGTGACGGTGACACAACAGTGAACAAGTTTCCCTTGGCCCTGTGGTCCATGTTTTATCTCCATGACGACTCTCTGGATGTCAGGACTGCAAGACACACAAAAATAAGTGGGGATGATGATCCCTTTGTTTGGAAAACATTTTTCAGCTAAGACACAGCAGGAGAGACCTGCAATCAAGATATTCACTCATGCCTATGAGAAGCCAACACAAGACCAATTACGGGCTAATTCCTTTACCCCGTAGAGGTTGTGGACTATGAAGTCTTGTGGTCAAAGTAGCATTTTGGGACAGAATTGGTTTCAAGCATGTTTCTTTAACAGACACTGAGCTGGTCTGTAGTTTCCGAAGCAAGAAGCAGCTGTATAATCCCACAAAGGAAACGCCACACTGTAGACGGTTAGGAGAGAGTGCACACTCAAACACTTTGACCTGACAGCATAACAGCATTTTATTATATGCCTCTCTAAGTGCTATGATAAGTAAATATTGGTTTAGGTGGTTTGGATGGTAATATCACTGAAAATGACAGCTTCCCTTGTTCGCTTGCTGTTTGTCATTAGGATCGAAAGCTTATCCTAAATCTACAGTACACTGAGGCACATTGCAAGTTATGACAGGTCAAATGTTAGGTGTGATGACAGCAAAAGAACCAGGCGCATCCATCCCAATAGAGGAAAAGAAAAGTATTTTAACAAACCATGGCCCTGTGGCACTACTTTTGAAATGTATCCCTTCTTTTAGCATGGTGCCCAACAAAAATAGACTGGCAAAAGCTATAAGCTCCCAAAATAAGTTGCACTGACTTCCAGCAGAGCAGAAAGAGAACAGAGAGATACATTTCTTTGTAGGCAAATAAGGGCCATGGCTTCACACAGGAGGAGAATGGGACAGTGCAATACATTTTGCAGAGCCCTCCGTGAAAGGCTCTTACTCTTTGGAAGTCAAGCGTCACCAAAATACAAGGCATTGTATAGATACACCCCACTCACATATAAATAGTATCCATACATAAAAGGCAAACTGAAATGACAGTGGTCTCATATCTTTCCATGTTGCAGTATAAAAAACCAGCGCTACAATCAGAGTTACGTGGAGATACGGTGAAAAGCAGCTGTTGGTAGACGATTGTTGACTGGAGGGTGGGAAGGCCACTCTGTATTACAGAGGGGGGGAATTAGGAGCAAGTTCCCAGGTGCATTAAAGTATAACGAAAGCAGCTACTGTTAGTCCAGAAGCAAACAGTAAGAGGGCAGGAGGGCGGGGAGTAGAGACAACATGAAAGGATAGACAAACCAAGAGAATTAAAGTCTACAGGGATATGTGAGAAAAATGGACAGGAATCAGCAGAAGACTGAGAGTGCAGAAGAGAAGTCTTTCAGCCTTTAAAGGTAGAGCAGAGGGAAGAGCTACTGAGAAGAAGCAAAGATCTCCACCATACAGACGCTTCCACTACCCAACACCAAAAAACGGCAGCTGTAGCCTTAAACCCAATCAAGCTGGGGTAGAAAGTTTGGGGGCAAGGGGCTCTGGGGGACCAGGGGATGGGCAGGGCAGGAGAGGAGCAGAGCAGGATGGACTTGGGAAGCAGCAGGGGGTCTCACACATACACACCCTCTGGGTTGAGACTGGATACTAGAGGGTTTTGTAGGTTGCGTGGATGTCCCAGGAACTGTTTGGCAGTGGGACGAGGCGGTGATTCCACTGGAGCCACACCGTGGCCTGACAGGTAGAGAGAAATACGTTAGTCATTTGACTTTCACAGCCGAGCATATCATTTTGAGTTTGTAGTTTTTAAAATTCCTCTTTGTTTCCATACCTCCATTACTGTATCCATCCTGCAGAAGATGGGCCAGTTCTAACTGCTCCAGTTGCTCTTGAAGCTCTGTGCGTGAGTGGGTGTGTGCTGGCAGGACACCTGTCTGTTGAATAAACTGCTGCAGGTTACACTGCCTCAGCTCCTTATTCAACTCCTCCAGCTCCTCCTGTTTGGCCTGAGATGGAAAAGAACATGGATCAGTGAGGAATGAACAGTAGGATGACTGAGCTCACACCAGTCAGTGCTGATTCACTGAACACTGACACCTTGTTTGCCTGTAAACTAAAGTGGGTGCAGCATTATTAAAAAATGGGATGACCTAATGCATGTTATTCAGTAAATGATTCTCTTCTGCATTATTTCAATGATAACCAAACTTACAGCATATTTTATTAATGTCTTTATAAGACAGGACTGCTTTATTTGCCTTAGGTCACATTTCTGCAACTGTAAATGACAAGCATTTTTATACCATAAGGGGGCAGCAGAGTCTACAAGTCTAGTCTCAAGTTACTGATGGAGACTATCACCTATCAGCCATCATCATCATACCATTCAGTTGATGAATCATGAAAACTCCAACAACTACCATAAGCATTTGTCTGATTCCAGCAGACTGAAGCCATACTTACAGATGGACACATAACAATGGTCATATGCCTGTTGCTTTTAAAAGTTATCATAACTGACCAGATGTCAGTGGGAGAGATATTCATCAGCTCCCCATTATTGAAAACTTGAGGTTCAGAGATCCTCCATCGAGACAGTGGCATCACCTTTGGGCCCACAGATTAAACTGTGATCCACACAGGCCAGTCAATCAGTCTTAATCGACCATCTATTTGTGCTTAATCAATGTGTCTGCACACAGTGCAGGAAACAGCAGCGGTATGCTATAGCCCCCAACCCTAGCACCTGCTTGTGTGTGTATACGTGTAATTGATGTTGGACTGAGGCAGACTGCTGAAGGCAGTTCACACCTGCAGGTCTGCCTCCATTAGCCTAATGACAGGAACGCTGTGCTCATCAGCACCAACGCTTAAACACTCGGCTGGCAGCCTCGGCCAATCAGCTGACTGATGACTGACACAGCCAGACACACACACATTCCCATTACTACAGATAGAGCCTAATTATACTGTATCATGTTACCAGTGTTAACATGTCGTCGTCACATCAGTAAATAAAAGCATCTAATTTCTTCCAGGCGATAACTGCCTGGGTGGCAAAAAGCCTTTGTGGTTATTTTCGGATTATACACTCTTGCAGTACAGGTTATGACACGGTGGTACAAATGATACCACTATGTATGAAAAAACAAAAGCCTAATACCTCTGTTCTGCAGCAGGATGCTTTGCTTTCTATATAATTGTCAAATAGATCATGACACAGTCCCTCTCTGTTCCATCAATCAGGCACTAAATCTGTTGAGTTCACCCCCAGAGTCAGACACATCCCCACGAGGATGACTGAGTGATGACTCAAATGAGCCTATTGTTATGTTTTAATCAATTTTGCAGCCAGATTGCTATTTATTATTTGGAGCCAAGTGGATTGGCAATGAGACACAACAGTCTTTCAGTGTGGATGGTTCTTGGCTAATGAAGACATGAAAACACTAAACTAAGAAATGTTTTCAGTGACAAAATGGACAAAAAAATAAATAAAAAACATCATCCACCCTACTACAGTAAAAGAGGAATTTAATTTTCTTCACTTCCCTGGCTGGAACTAGTCTGAATGAGCACCATGAAGCAGATACCCGAGTCCTGTTTCATGTGGATTATGAGGAAACTCGAGTTTCACTTCGAACTGGGTTAAGCTTTTATTGATACAGCCGTGTCTATGACAACAACCCACAGTAAACAAACAATAACACCACAAACTACCATAAGTTGAGGCCGAGTGGATCCAATAAAAGGGGCTTTTGTTCTACAATCCTCTTTAATCTCTTTTTCCATAGACAGGGTACAAGAAAATGTAGATACTGGCAATGTAATATAAACACCATTAGTAACCACGCGTTCAGAACATGCATACAAGCTGATACCGGCCAAACCAGTTCAGCTAGACTCTAAATAGGACAATAAAACATTTTCATACAAGTTAGGATACGAGTATACAGTGTTCATGTCATCGCAATTCCTTGAATAATTATTTATATATCAAAATACCACAATAAATCATTTTCATTCAGTTTTCCTTTTCCTTTTTATGAGTGTCTCTGCACTGTTGTTTGTCTGCTGCAGTTTGCAGGTAGGAGAGGGATACAGTTTTACAGTATAGCTAAAAGAGGGTCTGTGCTACACCCCTCAAATCACCACACATGGGCCGATGTGGATTTACAGCCCTTTTTCCAGAACCGTGACCTCTCTCCTTACCTGCAGCAGAGACTCTGCCTTCCCCAGAGCCTTGTCAGTCTCAGATAGCTTCTCCTCCAGATCTGTGCTGTGATTCTCCTGGCTCCAGAGCTCTGCCTTCACGGCTTCGAGGGACTCCTCGGGTTTGTTGGTTTTCCTTTCCGCCTGGCTTTCTCGCTGGATCTCTTGCTCCAGCTGATCCGAGCGAACAGAGAACTCGTGGAGCCGCCGTCCACATTCGTCTAGCGTGGCATGGAGCTCGCCCAGCTTCCTCCTCATTCCTCGCTCCTTCTCCACCTCTGCCTGGAGCTCCTCCTCCCAGTATTGCTCGTGGGCAAGCTCGGCCTGGTTCCGCCGCACAACCTGCTCCAGAGTGTCCATCTCTTCTTGCAAGCGAGCATCAGAAACCGGTGAAGGGCATGGAGATGGGTAGGGGCGCTCCAAGGTATGCGACTCCCTCTCTAGGGCTTCTAATTGGGCCTCAAAAGCCCTCAGTCTCTCCTGTTGCTGGAGAACCTTCCTAAAGACCTCCTCTTTGGATGGGCCTATAGGTGGTGAGGGAGAGGGGGATGGCATATGAGGGGATACAGGGCTGGGAGAAGGGGAGGGAGAGGCTCTTTGCTCCGGAGAGTCCCGAGGAGACCTCTTAAACTGTTTGACTTTGGATCTAGGAGAGGTGGATGGCCCCAGGTTAAAGGTGAGTGCTTTCTTAGGCTGGCTGCGTTTGGAAGGCTCTGGCTCAGGATGCTTGGGCAGAGGAAGGGGAGTTGCTCTATCTTGTTTTGAGTTCGGTCCATCACTGCTGCTAGGGCCAGTACGGCGCAGGAAGAACTGAACTTCACTGCCATGTTGGCCTAACTTAGCCAAGGACTCCAGAGGCCTCTCTGTGGCCAACAGCTGCCTCTCTGTGTCTCTAAGACGCTGGATCAGAACATAACGACCCGTCTGACCTGGGGACAGAGAGAGACTCAGAGTGAGTACAGAGAAATACATCTAGAAACTGAAAAATAACACAGCCTACCTAACCTAAAACACCGCCATATCAAATTGAAGAAACTGAAATTAGGTTTTTATAAAAGCTTGTACTACATAAGTCAGTCGTGACTACTGATGAGTTACTTGTTAAAGAACTTTCCTCTCTTTCAGTGTACTTAAACAAGTTGGTTTGACTACTCCCACTGCTTCTATGCAAGTAATGCAAGTGAGCAAATGACATCAAATGCATTATGATGATGCCGATACCTCTAAATCTCTGCCTCTAAGGACTGGAATAAAAGGCTTCTGCGTAAGACTCACACAACATGTAAAAAATGTTCAAATAAACTGAAGTTTCCACAAGGACCTTGAAATTAGGACAAACCCTCCCTAATGACTTGGCAGGCAGCTCACTCATGGAAGGAGGAGAGTGCTAAATCTGGAGTTATGTTGTTCAACGCTGTTGCAGCGTATGGCTTGAGTGAAGCCGGAGGATACAGGGACAGATAGCCGGCTCAAATCCAAACTGACCCCCTGACAGTCCAGCAGAGTACTTGATTTGGGTCAGTGGAGAATGAAAAGGTGAGTGCAGAACCAGATCGCTGCAACGCAAGTGTGTACAAGTACATGTTTTGTCTGCTTCAAATTCTCTTTGTAGGGCTCTTAACTAGTCACTTAAAGGACCTGTGTGTAGGATTTAGTGACACCAGCAGATTGCAACCATTCGAATACCATGCAGCCTTAAGTTAAAAACTCATTGGACCTTTAAGGCCTTTAGACAAACTGTCAAGCAGAAGAAAAAAGGTGCCAAGTAACCATGTAAAAAGGTGCCATGTTTTCACAACATGAAGACATGATGATTTTACAGCAGTCTGAGTGATACTCACCAATGGCTTGGGCCAGAGCAATGACCACATCCTGGCAGGACGTCTCCTCAGACAGACCGCATACAACCCGCACCACTCCGTCCACCCACACTTTGAGCTCCATCTGGGATCAGGCAGGACAGGGTGAACGGTAAGATGGTCTTTAAAACAGATCACTTCTGCTTGGGTTGACTCAACACTGCATGACACTGCGTGGCAATGACTCTGAAAGACAAGAACAGAGAAACATGTTAGAGACGTGTTGATATGATTGATGATTAATCCGATTTTTGTGAATGTAGAAACAATGGAGAGCTCTGGGGGGGGGTAACAAAAAAGACAACAACAATCTGATGGCTTCACTGAGCTGTGGATCATGATGTAATCTTCCCCCAACATATGACACAACTTGTTGCTAACCTAAATAAACCACATTGGAAGCGGCCCTTAACATAGCACCCTCATTTGTATGCCACTTTGTTGAAATACCAGTCTCTACACCAAACAGGACTGACGTCAAAAACGTGCTGTGCTGAGAGCATCATTGAATTGTAAATTTCAAGACCAGCAGCAGCCGAAGGGTAGAGCAGTGTAGCATTTTGTTAAGTTTCTAGTGGTTAGTTAAGGGCCCCGGCAGTATCTTGTGGACCTGGGAGCATAAATGCCAATCTGTAACCCAATTAAACGCTTCGTTGCCCTCCTTCAAAGCCGTTATGATAGCTTACTGCCGAGGGGAACGGACAGGGAAAGTAGAGCAACTCAAGTGTGTCTATGTTTGGGAGAGGGTGTTTGTGTGGGTAGAAATACACAGAATCATGGCAGGAGAGACAGGAGTGTGTGTGTGTGTGTCCCTCAGTTTGATCCTCCTCAGCAGGACCAGAACTGGGTCTCATCAGACTTCAGAGAGCAGATCAGCAGGTAGCCCAACACACGTCTGGGCAGCAGGTTTAACCTAAATGATTATCGTTATGTTCAGTCCTCACTCTCTCTGTCTGTGCTGTGTTACAGCTAAGCTTCAAAACAAGGTAATAAAACACAGCAGTGCTCATAAAAAGCGAAATGCCTCAGGCAGCGGTAGGATTATCTATTGAACTTGGCACAGTAAATGAAACTTTGTAGCCTAGGTGGGTAAAAAGACAACTCTTCACCCACAGTCAGACAGATGGTGTTCTCTTTCTGTCTGTCTCTCCAGTTCTCAATGGGAGGTGTTCAATACTGAGCCCCACCATTATCTTGCCCCTCATTCAGTGTCTGGCTCTGCTCCACTGCCTGCCTATAGGGAGCTGCTTTGGAGGAATGCACTGACTTCATCTGCCAGCCGGAAGAATTCCTGCTTTTCTTAACAAAGCCCTCACCCCGCCCTCCTCTGCTGCTGACCTGGCTGCCCCGCACCACCACTACTTCTCCGCTGTTTGGATGCCAAACATGAACTCTGCTGGGGAGCAACAGCCTATCTGATGTGGCAACAACATCACACAGTACAGCTCAACATGACACACCACATACAGGGAAGGAATGACAGACACAGCTCCAGAGATTGAACCAGCAGAACGAGATCACAGGAAACAAGCAGGAGATAGAGACGGATGATCACATGTGGTAGAAATTCTTTTGAACCAATGCGAGCGAGGTGATTTCATCTGGAAAGAAACTTGATAAGAAAGGGGGAGTGCTTTGAAACTCAAATACCACAAATTTCACCACAGCAGTCAATATTTTTCCTTGAGAGGACGCTGTGTTGCAATACATAATTAACTCTAACTGGTTGAATCACAGAGTGAATAGACAATCATTTACTTTAGCTGTTTGGCTTTTTTTTTTTAATATGGAGAGGTGAACAGGAAGACACATTTTAAAAAAAACCTCGGAGCCGTGTGAAGATGAATGCTACCTTACGGGCCTGAATCAAAACTTTACCTTGGAGTGACCTGTAAGAAAACTGCATAGGTAGGGAAACTGGGTCAAACCTGTCTGGAGATGCACTTTTCACAACCTTGCAGACAGTACCTAACACAAATGCTTCTATATCTGTACAGGATTTCTATGTACCATAACAATCTCGTTAAATGAGAACACAAACACACAAACATCTCCCAGCTAAGAATGTCACTCTCCCATGATGCTAAGTTCTTGTCCCTCCTGGCTGGTGAAATGTGATAATCTGCACTAACAGGAAACAAACAGGCCTGTGAGTCTCAGGTTGCCGTCTATTCTCTTTGTCACAGGCACAACAGTGCTGAGAACCAGACATCCGCCTGACCCAGCTCCTTTTCACAGCACAGCTCCGGAGTCCTGTGTCTGTTCTCACTGAAATACAGGTGGGGGAGAAGCACCTTTACGCTGTTTGTGAAATGTAATCTTGTGAAGCATACCATCAGCATAGGCTCTGAACAACAATGATCGGGGGCTGAAATAATGTTCGAAATCTTGCAGAAGGCAAACAGCCTGTCAATCAACGCATTCGCTATCCAAGGAAGGGGACTCAAAGCTTAACATAGAATGTTTGGTTTCAGAGGCGATATGCAAATGCTGTCGACATAACACGGGCTGCAGACTGCTTTGCACATGTTCAGAGTCACCACACACACACACACACACACACACACACACACACACACACACACACACAAGCTACTAAAGTTATCTAGAAGTCATAATTTTCTCCACATGACAGCCACTCACACCCCTCCAAAAGGAAAAACACACCCAAACTCCCACTTTTACTTTCACCCCTAGCCCCACCCAAACAACAGGGCACAGTTTAAGCTGAAACTCTGAGCTACGGCCTGTCACTTGTTTTCTCGGAGGACGAAATCAAGAACCTCACATTGGAGGTAATCAACAAATTGAAGCAATCAAAAAATATCCCACTCCAGGGCTCAGACACATGCACATCAATAAAAAAAGTCACTTGAGGATCTTTACATGAATAAAAGAAAAAAGAAAAAGTCACACTGTATGATGAAAGGGAGAGAAAGAGAGACAGTGAGGAAGACAGACAGCGAGAAAATGGGAAAGGAAGAGAATAAATGTGGGGGAAAAAAGTGACAGATAGACAGATAAAAGAGGGAGAAAGAAAAGAGCAGTGATTGGAGCCATGTGCCATTCCCTCTCTCCCCTCTCATCATCCCTCACCCATCCAGCTAACCCGCTTTGCGTCTTTCATCACCCTGTCTGTCCCTCGGTCTGTCTCTCTTCAATAACAGCCTCCCGGCTCCTTGCAGAAATCGACTCAAGGCAGAAGTGGTTAGCATCACAGCACTGCAGACACGCCGGGCATGATTTGGCTCGTCTGTGTGCCACTCCGTGTGAGCAACAGTGTCGGGGTGTGAATTGACGGGCCCTTTTGGACAAGCAGGTCACAGAGAAGTGTCCGTATGCCAGAAAATACAGCTGTTTACTCATGAAACACAGGCTTAAGAATGAACATTTGTGGATTTAGACTTTTTTTTTTTTCCTTTTTGGACCCCCACTTAATGACTAGTATTCTTGCAGCTGGAAAGACACACCCATAGCCCTTTGCAAATGTTTGAACAATTAATTTATGTTAGTCATATCCAGTATTGGGAAATGTGGAAGAGAGTCAAGCTTATCAGAAAAATTCCAAGCTAGGTTATAAATGTACTGTAGCTTCTCAGCACCTAAACCCTTAGGCTACATCAACAGTATGCTTACTGGGCGTGTAATGCGTCACCGCGTGTGTGTGCGGGTGAAGTACAGAACACTCTGTTATGCTAGTGCAATGGTCAAAGGTCGGGTAGCATGTCAGAAAGTACAAGCTTGTATGTGTGAGTGTGTTTGCGAGCAGACATGCCATTTGGGCCTATCTTTATGTGAGGTTGCTCTGGCTCAGAGTGATTACTGTGCTATCTCTGCAGCAACAGAAGTCCAAGGAACAATGGCAGGAGTAAAGGGCAGTGAGTGTACATCACACGGTGCCTCAGATCTGAATGACAGAAAGATACACAAACGCGCACATATACAACAAGTGTATACAAACAGTCATCCCTATCAGCATTGACAGAAAAAATAAGACCCTGTCCCCGGCTGGTTAAAGTGTACATAATAGGTTAGACGTTACAGTTGGAGGACAATGAACAGTGCTGGGAGAAGCCCTCTGTGCCACTCTGGTCCAGGTTGGCAGAGACACACAAACACTCAAAGAGCCAGTAACACGCTGGCACCAAGCAGCCTGGTCTCATCTGTACTGTAGAGACACTATTGTTGTTCTGGTTCCACACTCAGCAGACAGTGTTGCCTCTTTTGTGGCCTCTGGCATCGCTGGGTCGTCTGCCTTGCCTCGCCAGCTTTTACTGTCATTCTGCCGTGTACACATGTTAACACTGATAAAACTAATAAAAGGGAAAACACAGAGTCTCTTTTGTCTTCCCTCGCCTCCTGTTTTGCATTCCTTATTCCTCCTCCCCCCCATCTCTGTCATTCAGTGTTACGGTCTACCAAGTGAGCATGGTTTATGTGCTTAAAAAGACTGATGAGACCAAAAACAAACAGAAAAGTCCACAACATGCCCGTAGTTGAGAGCAACTGGTGGAAAATTATCCTTTTGCTTCAGCAATTAGAACTGGGTCTCTGTGGAAATCTGGTGATGAACCACATGGGTATTCTCTGTCACTTCTTCATTACACAGCAAGAAGAAAAAAAATCTGGGTATTGCGTGCTAGTACAGTTGCTACACAAACACACACAAAACGCACACACAAACAATAACTGGAATCATACTGTTCCTTGCAGGACTCTTGACTGGCTTTTATAAATATATATAAATACATAAAATGCATATAAACACCTTATCTGGCTTAAAGTATTATCATTGTAAACACTTCAATTTGGACAGAAGTATTCAGGTGGTGCTGGAAGCAACTAGCTGGGTGAAAAAAAAAACCCATATCAAGCAGTCACAGCCCCAGGGCTTAGGAAAGCTCTCCTACATAGCACTTTAATGAACAAAGCTTTTTATGACTGTCAGTTTGTTTGTTATAGTTCCCATTCTCTTCTCTTGCACCTGCAATGGCCTTTTTTTCATCGCAATTTGCATGCTTCGCCAGTATTTCCACAAATTATTGCTCGGCTCTTTAACGTCTAATCTTAAAAGATCAGACGTCTTTCTAAAAGTAAAAGTTGCCTCAAGGATTGAACTGTGCTTAATCCCTGTACAAAACATCTGTGCAAGCTAGGACCAACTTAGTCCTCGGGCAAATACAGTA